ATAGTCCAAAAACATTTCTTGCATATTAAGAAGAGCTTGGCTGCTTTAGTTTAGCTGTACTTTTTATTTGTTATTAAATATGGTACCAAATTTAAAGAATTTTATGATAGAAATATTGTATTATTTAAGAATTACATCACTTTCAAATATATTGTTTGAAAATAATACAATCCTTGAGAAAGGAAACATTTGAAATAATTAGCAAGCCTTTTGCTATGCTATATAATTTTATTATAGTAAAGGAATTATTTTCTTGAAAAAACTTGCCAAGTGTTTAACATAGGATATTCTCAATTTTCTGTTAAATTACTTAATTTAATAATGATTCTTTTATCACGATTTTTAATTTTAACTCTTTCCACTCTGTCGACATTGTTCTTTTTCATGCACTTTGTGGTTTGGCTAGGTTCTCAATTGGGCAGCTGAGTGATTATAAATTGGAACTGACATTTGGATTAACTCATCCGTGAATAATTTTTGGGTAGATTCTGATTCAAATATCATAAACCCCTAGACCAGCAGGCTAACACCTTTATCATCTTAGCCATCCAGTCATCACTTTGAGCATGTTAGCAAATAGTATTTTTTATTATATTTATATTATTATAGTAGCTGTACCTGGCCACGTGTTGCTGTGGCTCAAAATGTATCTATTATAAATGTATTGATATAACATTCCCTGCGGGAGAATTTCGAAAAATCCCTTCTTGGTGTACATTCTCTTGACATACCATATTAAAACGCAAAAAATCACATCTAAAATAATATAACAGAAGCCAAGTTCTTCATGGTAAGCCTTAATTTTGCCCTCTTTCCTGCGGGGGAGAATTTTGACATCTATATAATATAAAACGCGCGTATTCGAATGCAACATTATTTCAAAATTTCAAAGCAATTGGTGAAGAACTTTCAGAGATTTAAGATTTTGAACAAATGAACATTTACACTTTTATTTATATAGATTATGTTATGTAAAAAGGATTATTTGAATGTTTCATTTAAAAGTACTTAATTTGTCTTTTTTATATTTGATATGATACTTGACTTAATCATTCTTCAATCAAGAATTTTTTTTTTTCATGAGAGATACTTGACTTTATTTTATTTATTTTTTATGTCTTGTTAAATTTGTTTGCCTTGAAAAAATATTGCTGGTACATTCACAAGTCAGAAGTGTGTAAATTTCAGAATAGTACTGAAAAACAGTTGAATTAGTTTGTAAAGAAAATTATTTTTCATGAAACATGTGTTTTAAAAAATAAATTTTGTTGACTTTTTGAAGGCAGTAATTTCCATTAAGTTTTTATATTTGTATTAGTTTTAAATTCTCTACTTTCAAAATTTTTATAAAACTTGAATAGTTATTGATACAATTATATTTGCTCTAATAAAAACAAATTTTCTTATTGGAAATTGTTTATTGCTTAATTTTATGATTAATTAGCAATTTGTTTTAATTTAAAAGTAATAACTAAGTTCTCAATTGTTCGCACTTACATTTAAAAAATAGAAAATTACAAATACAGTAATAGTTTGTCTTGCAGAATAGCCATCTTCCTTAAAAGCAAGAACTTTGTTTTTTTCTGTATCAATTAAAGTTTTCCTTTAGCCATTCCATATTATGTAAACAAGCTAGGAAAATGGTTGCTGGTTTGCATATTCCTAAGCTCACATATACCACATATTATATATTTAGAATAAAAATAGTAATTATGATGTTTGCTTTATAAAATACATGGCTTTATATTTATGGGACAAGACAAATAACAAAATAATTATGCTGCATTATCATATCTTAATGTATTGTTTCACATCACAGTATTATTGTAATATAGTGTGAAAAAATATAGAAAAAGGCTGACTTTATAATTATAGGATGTACCTTATTAAAATTCTTCAAGAAGCGAGATTACAGAATAACTTGGTCTCTCCATTATTGTAATGTGATTAGAATTTTTGATAGCAGAGTGAAACACTAATTCTTGATTCTTAAATTGGCTTGTTTGCTGTTGTGTGATCTAATAAGTAGGGATTAGAAATTATTATGTGAAAATGAGCTAAAATATGCAAATAATATTTAGTTTAAAAATGCTAAAATGTATATATTTACAAATAATTTGTTAAGATTTTAAGTCAAGCAATAATTTTGTCACAGATTTTTTTTGTAAATTAGAATAAATTACAATATAATGAGATCAGTTTTCAGTCGGAAACTTCCCCCGTTGTTGTGATACAGCCTTATACTGACTAAACGACCACTCAGTGCAAACACTCTGCTCATAATAATGGATATTTCAATGCTTGCATTTTTCTGCTTGACAACATTAAATGCATCTCCTCATTTCCACTTAAAATAGCATTACTATCTGTAAGCTCTTTAAAATCCAGGATTGTTTTCCATAACTGACTTAAATTTCAAATAAATATTCCTATCTCTTTGTGGAACTGATAACTTCTCAACAACTCTAATTATTCCCATTACTTCTGATAGTGATAGCTTTTCACTTTTATATTTATTTATTTTGTTAATGAAAAATGAGTTGAAATAAAGAACATTTCATTCTGCTCTTGAGGTTTGAAGTAAGCTTTTGTAAAATATCAATAGTGACACAATTGTCACTTTTCACATGATCTAGATATGAAACTAGTGTTTTGTAATTATCCAAACAATGAGCTACATTTTTAAGCCATTAAGTACTGTATCTTGCAGACAGCTTACTTAATTGAAATTGCATAGCTAATCAACAATAAAATATTTTTAATGCAACACTGAATAAACTACTTGAAGAGCTTGAATGATTGTTTCTGAAGTAGTGTGTTCTTATAGATTAGCAATAAGCATAATATAAATTAGAAGAGTCTTTATTTTTTATTACACAATTTGGATCAATACATTCACTACATAGATTTATCATACTAAGCCTATCATTATCATACATATCTTTCAAGTCATTTGTGATGTGAGATACTATTTGTTCATACAAATTATTAGAATGACCTTTTCACAATGTTGTCTAGTTTGGTGAAGTATGCTTCATTCATTTCTTAAGAAATTTCTTTAGTTTTGGATTTTCAATCTTGTGAAGTTGTGTCTGTTGCTGTCTGTAATAGCTTCCAGTAATATGCAATTAAATTCTGATGCATAGTTGAAATATAGTCAAATAACTCAGCATCACTCTTCAAGTAAACATAAAGAGAAACTCAAGAAATGAAGTAATAATGCAACACAAAAATACAGAAGCAGATTAATAACAAAACTATTATTAATCCACTTCTGTACTTTTGTGTTGCATTATTACTTCATTTCTTGAGTTTCTATTTATATTTACTTGAAGAGTGATGCTGAGTTATTTGACTATGTTTGCTTATATTAATTGGTTTATTACAAATGATGCACCATTGATTGACATTTAGATTGTTGAACAGTATAAATTTGGTTTTAAGCTCAGTGAAATAACTGCTTAACAGTTTTCGTGAAATAAATTTCATGAAAACTGATTGATTTCATGATTTTTTTGGTTGCCATTATTCTTGCCTACAAACAGTGCATATTCAAATACAGTCTACAAATTTCATTGAAAAATATTTACATTTTTGTCAAATATATCAAAAGATCCAAAATACACAAAACTATTTGCAGCAGGGTACAGTACCTCAAAATTAGCTCAGTTCATTGATTTAACATGTGTCTGATGCTTTTAAATTAAGATGTATTCAGCACAATATGCAAAATATTTGCAAGTCATAATTTCTAATTCATACTCATAACAATTGCATCCAAAAAGTATTCAAATACCTAGCATACATAGTAGAACAGCAAGAACTTTTTGAATAGAATAGTTCTCAATTTTTGCATTTAAATACTTCCATCTTTAGTTGGAATCACTTTGGATTAATTTAGATTAAGCCTAGTAATAAAAGTTATTTACATATGTAAAAGTGATTTTACTTTTACTTACTTATGAAAATGAATATAAGTATATGACATTTATATGGTGTATTTTAAAGATTAAAAAAGAGACAGAGAGAAAGTACTGAAACCTGTTCAAAATGGAAACCTGCTAAACTGGAAAAAAGTAATTTGTTATCATGCAATTCTGGTTTATACAGGTTTTTACTATACAATGAATCAATTTTCATTTTTATAAATTGTTATTATTAATACAGGGTGTCCCAAAAGTCTCCATACATTGACACAAATCACCAGTGGCCCACCAGTGGCTGAATAAATAAAACCATTGAACACTGGCAGTTAGTCATTAGTTCGTGTCTGACCAATAGGCTGGCCACCATGCAGTTCTCTGGGTTTTCTTCATGTGTCTAACACCTAAACAGAATCCAGTTTCTGGCCCACCAGTGGCCAAACAGTCTTTGTTCCTGAACACTGGGAGTTTGGTCATGTGTTCACACCCTGCTTGGACAGGCTGGTCACATGGAGTTTTCTAGATTTTCTCCATGTCTGTAATGCCTAAATAGGGGCCAGTTTCCCTTAAAAAGACCTCCTGGAAGGCATCTCCCCTAGGCAGATCGCCCAAGTGTTGCATTGCCATAACTAAAAAACAAACAAAAAACCAAAGAATCCAGTTTCCACGTAGAAAAGTCCTGCTAGAAGTTACCCCATTGGCAGATTACCCATGTGTTCTGTTGCCTTACTCTGTCAATCCACTGACACAAATCTTAATGCTGACATTTTAACGTTTTGTGAATAAACTTACATTTTACCTTTGTTTATATGGAAACTTTTGGGACATCTTGTATTTGTTAAGAAGAGATATTAATAACTTTGATTGAACTTATGTTGTATCTGTATCTGGTATATTATCCTTGATAGCATTGTCAGTTTATCTTTTATGCAAGGTGCTATTGTGTTTATATATTTTCTGTATTTTTTCCTTTATAATAGAAGTCTAATAGATTTTTTTTTACTGTATGTATATTTTATTTATAATAGTTTAAAATATTTTATCAACATTTGTGTTTGAAATAAAAATTATTTCCAGGAAAATATAAAAAATGGATATTGAAGTAATTCAAGGGTTTCTTTGTCATGGAGATCCTGCTGCACAAACAAGAGTAACTTATTTAACTTTCTTAATTTTCTTTGTTCTATTAAATAGTAATAAAATAAATACATTTTTCTGTAATTAATTTATTGAGATATATTTATACAGGCTTTGCAGTATTTTGAACAATTAAAATCAGCTGAAGATGGTTGGCAGTTATGTACAAAAACTCTTGCAACTGGACAACAGTATGTATCAAAATCAATTTGTAATATTAATTAGTAATAAATTTTCAAGATTTAAAAAAAAATATAAATTATTAGTAAAATCTACATGTAGTCTTTTGGTTTGCAGCTTATTGGATTTATTAAAAATTTTTTTATTATTCATATAAGTGAAAATTTGTCAAATAACATCAAAATTTAAAGATATTTTATAGTTAACTTTAAGACATTTACCTTATAATTGAGAAACGGTCTCTTAGCAACAACTTTGACATTTGTGCAATGGTTAGTTCTTCTGAAACTGTTCAATTGATTTAAATTTTTTTTGCATACAAATAGAATTTGTCTTGGTCATGATGCAAACACTATTTTAAAATTTCACCTGTGACAGGCGATATACAAGGTCAAAGTTTGAGATATTAAGTTTACGGATGAGTTCAGTGAGGTGTCTGGCCTAGTTTATATTATATTGACTATAGGACACACAACTTGATACTCATAGTTAAAATAATTTTTGTAAAAGTTTTGATTAACTTTTCCATAAGTAACTGAAACAGTTGGTTTAGTTTATAATTTATATTTATAAAATAAATCATTTTCTTATAAGTTGAAAAGTATTTTTAATCTGTATTTCTGTGCAAATGACAGTTATTTTCATTGCTAATTTATTGTTTTCAACTGGCCATTATTATATCGCAATAGATGCTATTAAACAAAATACTAAATATTGAAACACTTCAGCCAAACAAGTAATATAATACACTTCAGGGGTCACTCTGGAAAATTTTAAAAAATTTCCAATCATTTTTCCAGTTTTAAACTTTTTCATCACTTCAAATTATTTATCACCACTAGTTCTTAGTTCTTAATTAATCAATCTCGATGGCCTTATCAGTTTGGAGTCTGGAATGCAAAAGTAACGTGTTAAACTGTCACTTAAAAATAGGAATAATTTTTTAATGAATAATTCCAAATAACATTTTTGAGCACAGTGCTTAAACAGGTACTGTACTGTACATGTCAAAATTTTTATGCTTTAGTCTACTGAAAAAAGATTGAATTGTTTTCAATTTGATCTTTTTGTCACTCCAAAACATTCTGCAAATTTTCTGTCAGTCGATAAAAAATCTCCAATCCGGAAATGCTGGATAGCATTACATGAAAACTGCCTTTGATTCTCAAAATTACTTTCTGCTTTCCTGTCCAATCTTTTCGTGTGACTGCATGACATCGCTAGATGTGTGGTGCACAGGACACCCATTGCACAAGAGCTTGACATTCTGCTGTTTTTCTGAAACATGTTTTGTAATTCAATTTCACACTGAGTGTCAAAATAAGCCAACTAGTGTTTTTATCATCACTTTAATAAAAATATCACCAAGTGGCAATTTTGGCAATTGGTGATATTTTTATTAAAGTGATGATAAAATATTTTTTGGCACTATGCAGCACAATCTCTGACTCTTGCTAATCTGATCTCTCAATTATATGGCATAACCTGATGTAATCAACTATTCACTTTCATTTCCATGAAAATGTTAGTCAGGTCACACATTCTGTTTTCCTGCTTACCTCAGTTTTTGTTTCTGTGTATTGTATGTCAGCACATTATTTTATTTTTCCTGCCTGTCGACAAAAAGAATTGGTAATGAAGGTCAGCGGGTCATGTCATTCATTGGACTTAGGCTTATACATTCTCAGTAATCTGGCACTACTCTGTGCAAGAACTGACTGGATTTGCAAGATTCTAATGTACTGTACTTATATTTTAATACTACATTAATCTTGCATGGTATAGAGATAAATATGATGGAACTGCTGGTCAAAAATAGTGAGCATGACCTTTGTAACTTCCTGTTTTCAGTGACTGCCAAAGTGCTCTGATTGTTTTTTGAACACAATGTATTAAATATTGCCACAGTAAAAAAATTTAAGGTACATGTATTTATATGAAAGAAGCAGGATCCTGCAGCATACATAGTGGAATGAATGAAATGTGTAAAATAAAAATGCATCAAATCTTGAAAGGTGAATTTTGTTGCTCAGCAAGGATTGCAGCTATTGGTTGAAAAATTGGGTTCTTGCAAAGCATAGTAGTATTTGTTCAAAAATTTTACTGTAGATATGTAAATCAAATTATTTTCTATTTCATAGAAACAAAGAAGTGCGAATTCAGCTTAATCAGAGTTCATTCTAACTTACTTGGCCATGCATGTAAAACAAGACAAATACATATATGTATTAAACAAATCATATATACAAAATTTATTGTTTTTTTAAGAAACTAAATAAACAAGAATTTTTAAATTTAAAAATAAAAATAGTCAATTATTTATTATTTAAATTATCTGTTTTTCAGTGAAAATCATGTTAAATTTTTCTGCTTACAAGTGATTGAACATTTTATCAAAACAAGGTAAGTTTTTTCAAGTAATTATGAAAGAATCTAATTTGATATTTCTATAGAAAAATACTCAGTTGAATAAATTTATATTCATATGTAGTGAATGTATTTTTAGAAACTAAATGATATACAATTTCATATATTTTTCATGTAAGTGAAACAGAACAATTTCCAGAGAAATAAAATATATGGTTATGGTTGTGGGTGTCTATAGAGGGATCTGCCCCTCCCTGGAATTGAGTAAAAACTTCTGAAAATTATAATCATAAAAGTGATTGAGATAAGCAACTTTACACCCTCAGCCATGGGATGCTAATTATAGAATATAGTATTGCATCTGAATGCAATACTATATTCTATAATCTACTTGTGAAAAATCCAAACAAATTAAATAAAAGTTTACTAATGTAATTATTTGTCTCCATGGTTTGCCTCTCCTGGAAAATTTCCAGTGGATACCCATGACTATGATAATATATGAATAAATGTAAAATAAAATGATTTCTTGTACTAAAAAAAATGTGATTATTTGCCTGTTATCTATTTTAAAAATCAGTCAATCAGTTTTATTGATTTAGGGTTAGTCCCTCTATCCAGGGATACAAAAGAGAAATTTTTTTACAAATATGAGAAAAACTCTTGCATTTTAAATCCAGTGAACTTTTTGGGTTGCAATTTGAAAAAATACTTATAAATTCCCACTGTTATCAGTCTGTCTCTCTCTCTCTCTCTCTCCTTAATCTTAAGAATGGAGTTAGCTAGATAAAAGCTGATTCCAGATATGAAAAGATTAGGGACAGGAGGCCTTGATTAACTATGTACAAACTTCCATTAAAAACCAGAAATCATATTATTTAAATTCAAAAATTTTTTCCCTGAAAGGTATTAGATAGATGACTGGCACGACTCTATTGTTAAAGGAAAAGTATGATGTACAGGGACGAGCCACTACTAATTTGAGATGGACAGCATATATTTTAAATTAAATTAATTTTAAAAATATGGTTACAAATTGCAGTTTGGCATTGTGACAATGTCACAATAAACAATTGCTCTTACGTTTTTAAAATCAATAAACATTTTTACTGATTTTAAAAATGATTGATTAGAATTTAAGATTACTTAAATTCTTTTTTCTTTGAATAATGTACACTACTGGCCATTAAAATTGCTACACCAGGAAGGTGGCACACTACAAACATGAAATTTGCATGACAGATAGAACATGTTATGATGTGTGAATGATTAGATTTTCAATGCATTCATGCAAGGCAGGCGGCAGTAGTGACACCTACAATGTGTATAAAAGAAGACTTTACAGCAGGTTTCTCATACAGAAATTGCATTTACATGCTGTTTTCTGGTAAGAACATTGTTGTTATGCCTTGTTGTGAGGAGAAATACCTACCAGCACATGTCTGACTTTGATTGAGGTTGAATTGTAGCCTACTGGGATTGTGGTTTATTGTACCACGGTATTGCTACTCGTGTTGGTTGCGATCCCATGACTGTCAGCAGAATATGGAGTCAATGGGTTCAGGACAGTCATACAGAACGCTGTGCAGGATCTCAGCAGCCCCCATCACTAACAGTCAAGAAGACAGACATCTTATCCACATTGCCTTAATGGATCATACAGCCACATCACAAACCCTTAGTCAAGAAATGGGATCATTTGCAAGACAACAAGTGTCTGCATGAACAGTTAAATGATGTTTGCAGCAGCATGGACTGTCAGCACGGCAACTGTGGTTTTGGCTACCCTTGATGCTGCATGACAGGCAGGAGTGCCTCCAATGGTGTGATCAATGATGAACCTGGATGCAGGAATGGCATCGCATCAACTTCCAGATGAATCCCAGTTCTGTTTAGAGCACCATGATGACCCCGTCCGTGTTTGGCAGCATTGTAGAGAATGCACATTGCCAGCATGCATTTGACATCATCATACTGACCCATTACTTAGAGTGATGGTATGGGGTGCCATTGGATACACATCTCAATCAACTCTTGTTTGCATTTCCAGCACTTTGAACAGCAGCCGTTACATTTCTGATGTGTTAAGGCCTGTGGCTCTGCCCTATCTTCAAGATCTCTGTAATGCTACGTTTCAGCGGGACAATGCATGAGTACATGTTGCCCGTATTGTTCTGACATTCCTTGATGCAGAACATGTTCGACTGTTACCCTGGCCAGCACATTTTCCTGATCTCTCACCAATTGAAAATGTCTGGTCAATGGTTGCAGAGCAACTGACCACCACTTGCCAGTCACTTCTTGTTTTTTGCATTCCTTCCTGGTGTAGCAATTTTAATGGCCAGTAGTGTAAATGATAGCAATATCATGTTAATCTTTGTTGACATCATATTGCTATTATTTACAGTCCAAAAATTATATTTATAAAATTTACCTGATATAAACTAACTCAGATCACACTAGCACCATAGTATTTAGTATATACAACAAAACTGCTTAGTTCAGAAAGAAGAGAGACAAATGTTTTTATTAGTATAAACATTTTCAATCCCTCTTCAGATCATCCTTAAACAATCTGTGGATAAGGAAATTTTGAAAATGCACATAGGAGGTAATACACCATTGAGACAACACTGGCTGAGAAAAATATGTTACTCTTCATTCCTCAGTAATTTGCAAGCAAACTTTTGCAGAGCTTTTCTCAGTATTATGGCTTTGGAATTAACAAATGTTTCTACTAAATACAAATATTTCTCTCTTTTTTTTTAATTCATTATATACTCGTTTAATTATCAAAATTTTATAAGGAAAGGAAGTTCTCTCATTAAAATACTTGATTGATAAGACTATGAAAATTTTTATATAAAATCTACAATATATTGATTTAACATAGTTACAATGTTCATCTTTTTTTAATATTTTTATTTTTATTAATTATTTGAATTGAGTATGGAGACCTTATACAAAAGTAAATATATTGTAGAATGATTATTCTTGAACAGATTTAAAGAATTTTGTATATTTGCTGTTTCATTCATTTTAATAGCTTGTTTTAAAATAATTTAAAACTATTTTGTATTAATTCTTGAATATGGAATACAACTATAACATTTCCTCAGTTTAAGTTATTCTACTAATTCAGTGGTTCTCAAACTTCCTAATGCCACAACCCTTTAATACAGTTCCTCATGCTGTGGTGACCCCAACTATAAAATTATTTTCATTGCTACTTCATAACTGTAATTTTTCTACTGTTATGAATTGTAATGTAAATATCTGATATGCAGGATGTATTTTCGTTGTTACAAATTGAACATAATTAAAGCATAATGATTAATCACAAAAACAATATGTAATTATATATTGTGAAATATTTATTTCTAATTACAAATAAATGAAATTTTGTCTTGAAGCATGGTGTAGCATGGATAACAGTCTTAATATAACAACAGTAAACTACATTGCTGCACTTTGCGACAGTATATGTAAAAAGCCAATGTCAGTGCAAAGGTTGAGATTGCTTCTTTCTCACCAGATCGGAAATTCTCAGGGCAGTCTTTGCAAGAGCACAACAAAGATCATCTTCCACAACAAGTCTACTTCTGTATTTAGACTTGATAATCAACAAGCTGGAAAACCCTGTTTCACAAAGATATGTTGTTGGAAATGGAAGAAGAAGGCGCAACACAGTCTCAGACAGAACAGGATATGACTGCAAATATTTGATCCAAAATTTTGTAACTGGCATTGTAGAGATATCAGTTCTCACTGCATCACTGTTATTAAGTTCAATGAACTCCTCTTGTACTGTCTCAGGAACATCTTCAACTTTGACTGTGAATTGGCTTCTGGCAACTGCAAATGAGATATTGGGTAGATTTGGAAAGTACGATGAAATTTTGTCTGCAAGCTTGTGCAAATTTTATTTTCATCCAATTTTTTTTGCCAAAGCTAAAGTTTCATTTGGAATGATCGGATTTTTTCATACAAATCAAGGCATGTTGCATTTGGTACTTGCAGTGATAAATTTAACTCATTCAAGATGGCAAAAATGTCAACCAAATTATCTATTTTCTGCAATTCACTTTTATCGCTGAAAAGTGCTTTGAACTGCAGTCTTGCTTTCTGATTAAAAAACATTTTGAGTTCATCATTAAGCTCAAAAACACATTTTAAAACTTTTCCTCTTGACAACCATCTCACTTCAGTGTGAAATAGCAGAGCATTGTTCAGTGCATCCAACTCATTGCATAGTTGCGAAAACAGTCGACTGTTTAAAGTGCTCATCTTTACAAAATTGACAGAATTTATGATGCTTTTCATTACTTCTTGTAAGTCTTATTGGCAGCGTCTTCATTGCTAATATTTGCCAATGAATCATACAGTGAGTTCTGATGACTTTTGGTGACTCATTTAGTACCAAACATTGAAATCCAGATTGACATCCTAGCATAGCTGGAGCACCATCTGTGCAACTACCACAAACCTTTTCCCAAGAGATCTTATGCTCTTTCAGAAATGAACCAACTGTGTCAAACGCATTGCGTGCAGTACTTGTTGTTTCAAGAGGTTTGCAAAAAAGAAACTCATCTTTAAAGACGCCATCATTAATATAACTCATGTAAACCAGTAACTGTGAACAGTTTGCAACATCTGTAGATTCATCAGACTGGATATTAAATATTGGAAGTGGAGCAGATTTAATTTCTTTGATTATCTGATCAAGAATATATGCAGACATATCATCAATTCTTCTGCAGACAGTGTCATTAGATAAGGAAATTGCATTCAATTTTGTAACAAATTTGTCTCCGATCATAACTCGAACAATGTCTTTGGCAACTGGCAACAGTAAATATTCAGCAGTGGTATGAGGTTTCATAGCTCTGGCGATTCTGAGTGCCACCAAATATGAAGCTTCAACGGCTGCTACATTTTGTTTGTGGTACTTGCCACCAGTGTCAAGTCTGACTTTCTTGAGTCCATCAACTTTGCTTCTAAAATAGTTAGTATCCTTGCCAGCAAAGCTCGGATTCTTGCTATCAAAATGGTGTTTTAGTTTGTTCGGCTGATAGAACTTCACAACAAATAACACATTGTGGTTTCTCAATTCTTGCTGTAATTATTGAGGTAAAACCATACTATAAAAATCCTCACTATATTTTCTTTCTTAATGTTCTTCTCTACAAGATCCATTGTCATGGGATGGTTTGCTAATGAAAATAATATATAACAATAGCTTTAATAATACAAAAGATGACACATGGCATAGTTTAGTCAATACAGTTCATTAAAGTTTTCTATGATTTACCATTCTCTGTGTTGTTTTTTTTTACATACCTGTTACTATCACAAGGGGGCAATATTCACATCAACCACAGCTGAATATAAAAAGTCCAATTAGCATCCAGATTAAATTCCCATGGTACAGATATTTGTTTTGCAGTAGTTGATGATTTTACAGTACATGATTTTACATATACCCAGTAATTATAATTCATGAAGTGTTACTTTACATTTAATACTGCTGCTTTCAACACAGTATCTGCTCTACACATGTGACTGGTCTGCATAAGTACTGTACATTATGGCACCAACCCTGTCACATACACCTGTATTTGTACACGGTGTATGTGATGGGGTTGGCACAATTATATCATCACACCGGGTAGTCATGTGGATGGACCCGCCTGGAGACGGATAGAAGAGCACTGTCTCAGTTCCTAAGACCATTGGAAATATGTGTTTTCTGATGGTCTTAGGCAACCTCTATGAAAGGGTCGTGACCCACAGGTTGAGAACCACTGTCTAATCTGTTTAGTAGAAAATAACATAAACAAACTGAATTTAGTTATTTTGATGAATTTGCTGATGTTTATTATAATAAATTTGATAGATATGAACAATCGGATGCTACTCAACAACAACAAATTAGAGAATTCATCTGTTATTGGATTCGAACTCAGGTAATTAGTTATTTATTACACTTCATTAACAAATATTGTATTAATATAGATTTACAAATGTTATTTCTTATTTATATTTTATATATCATTATTATTATTTAATCCAGAAAAAAACTTTACTGTTGAACTATCAAAAGGGTTAAACTAACTACTTTTTATTTTTCATTAACATAATTTAATTTATATATTAATTTCATTACACATCTTTTAAGCATTTTACCAGAATCAATGTAATAGAGTAATTTATAGCAGTCAGTTAAACAAAAATGCATTAATTCAATGTGTTGCCATGTTTTAATGAAGAAATATTGTTGTTTGAGTATACATTGCATTAATAAATTTAACAACAACATATTTATTGATAACAAGTTAAGTTTAAGATTATATTTTTTATTTATTGAATGATCATATTTAATGCATATTTATTATACTGTATCATGAATGATTTTAACACAGTGAAATCATAATTTAATGTTTTCTGAGACAAGGAAAAATGAACTTTAGATGTGGAAAATGGTAAATTGAGGACTGCTATAATTGAATCTGAAGATACAGAAAAATTTCACATAAGAACTTTAATTCCATATACTGTGTAATACAACAAACAGAGTTACAAAGTCCCTTTTAACAAAAAACTCTTTAAAACAAGAAAAAAATTTAAACAAAATGTAACAGCCCCAGAAAATAAAATAATATTTGTGTTCAATTCCTCAGAGCACAATAATTAGAAATTACAATTATGTTTTAATTGGAATTACAAATAATAATTCTCTTAATTAATACAAGGTCTCTGCTAAAAATTATTTTGAATTAAATGATTTTAAGTTGTTATTCATTTTGTTAATGTGTAAAATATGAAATTTGAGTTTCATATATATCAAAACATTTTTACAATGTTGTCTTATACATTGGTTTGTGTATTTTCTGATTATTGAGAACTGAAATTAGAATTATATTCAAAGTCAGTGCTTACTCGAAACATTATAATGATGTTTTTTTTTTATATTAATACTTGTAATAATAACTTACAATAATTTATAATAATAATAAAAGTCAAAAAATTGTTTGCATAAACACTATAGGAATTATAAAAACATTCATACCCACCAATTGCTGAGTGGATAACTCTATTGAATACTTGTAGTTGGTTGTGGGTTTGTGCCTGACCAGTGGGTTGGCCATGTGCATTTTCTGGGCATCTAAATCTAAATAGGGGCCAGTTTCCTATAGAAAGATCTGGCATTCATCTTACTCAGCAGATTGTCCATGTTTCGTGTTCCTGAATCCCATCAAACCAAACTCCGCATTCCAATAATAATAATAATAAATCTATTGAAAATTGGTCTTAAACTTTCAAAAACAAATATTTTTAACTTTAATTTCTTTTATATTTTAATTAAAATCTTATGATGATCATTTTATTATTATAATAGCACTTTTTGAATATGTAGATTTGTTGAAAATACATCATAATATCATGTATAAGATATATTAACAAGATATGTCATATGTAAGATATAAACCTGTAAAGGTAAAACAAAACATGATATTTGTGTGATTAAAAAAAATATAATCTTAAAATATATTACATAAATATGTTTATAGATTTTTTTCATAATTAATTAATTATTTATTTATTTTCATAATTAGCCAGAATCACATAAAGGAGAAGAAACATTTATTAAAAATAAAGTTGCTCAACTTGTATCTATGGTTTTTTTAATTGATTATCCTCATCATTGGCCTTCTTTCTTTGCTGATCTCTTACAAACACTTTCATTTGGACCAAGTGCTACTGATTATTATTTGAGGATTCTTCTTGCCATTAACAGTGATGTTGCCGATCGAGAAATAGCTAGAACACAAAAAGTAAAATATTTTATTTTTTTACTGTTTAGTTTTAGCTTTTAATAGGGATTTTATAATATAGAATTAAATATAATTTATAAGTCTTAATAACTCTAATATAAGTTATTAAATGTACTATATAACATAACATTTGTAAAAGTTACTTGATAATTTTCACAAATTACTACAGATGAATCCTATTTATCTGTAGAATTTTTATTAACTGCACAATTATTTTTTAAGAAAACATTTTTAAATATTTATCATTATTACTTTTTTTTTATCAGCATGAAACGTTGGCATTCAAAACATAGATTGCAAATTATTTTTATAATGATTATTGAGTCAATTTTTTACAAAATTTTAAGACATTTTCAGAATACTTTTACCTCCTTTCATCCTGTTGATTATTTTGTATAAATGAAATTGCAAAATAGGTTTTACTTTCAAGTTCAGAAAGATTTAAGAACTAAAATAGTATATTAGACTAATGAATAAATTTATAAACTGATAAATTTTCTGACAAACAATTCTTAAGCAGAAATGAAAATAATATAACTTATCCTTAAATATTCCATATTTATTTAACAATGTTCCATTACATTACAATGAATTAAGCTTATAAAGTATCTATATATTTAGATGCTTGTGACAGGTTAAACAGCACCCTTTGGGTCAGGTCTGACACCACTTGTGATTTCTGGTTCACAGGAACCTTTTGAAACTTTCAATAAATGTGTGAGCAATTGGATATGAAGGAACTGACAGTAAGGGATGGAGGAGGAAGTTGAGAGACAGAGAAACCAGAAGTAACACACTCCACAACATAATTAACAATTAAATAAATGTTTATTTTTTTGGCTGAATATTAAATACAAGAAAATAATAGAAATAGAGGGAGAGTCTAAAACCTCTATACATGCTTATCAGAGAGAGAGAGTATGTTTACAGTTGATTACATGTATCAATAAATACCTGGATCCTTTGCAGTCCAGCGATTGCTGGCTAGCTTGGATGTCCTGATGGGTAGAAGAGTTTCTCAATTCTAACGTACCAGGTAGTAATATCTGTGCTATTGTATTAATATCCAGAATTGGTCACAAATCCAAGTCAACAGTTCTTTAATAAGGAGTGGCCAAGGTCCGTTAAAACTGCCGGAATCAAGAAGACTAGTAGAAGAGTTCTGTGGTGGAGGGTCATCTTGATGAACAAATGGATGAAACCACTGAATTTTATCTTATTTATATTGTGACAATGTGCAAAGTGCCCCTTATGCTTCCACACCACTTGACCAAAGGTCAACACCATGACGGCGATGACTGCATCATTAGGACTGACACTACTGTGTCTTAAGGATAGAAACAGAAACCTCAATGGCTGCTCAGTTTGTTTTTTTGTGAGTGGTTGCATATGTAGGCGGTTGGATTCGAGATGGAGAATGTCTGAGAGACAGCATATCTGGAGGAATGTACTTCACTACAGGTTTAATGTAAACAAATACCTATTTATTTATGTAAACTATTTACACATATAAGCTTAAGAGCACAAGAGAGAGAGTTTACACTTACACATGCGAGGATAAATACCTGTAGTTGTTATACACTTGATAAACTGGTTTCTTGTTCTTTGATTATGTAGAAATCCTCTAGATTCGTCTGGATGTTAGACATTTTGTTAGTTTGATGTAAGATCCTTGAAGGGCAGGTAGAAAGATGACAGGTTGACCTAGGTGGCAATCAGGGGCAATGATGATTGGTGGGGGGTTAAATTAGAACATCTTAAGGCAAACATTTCATAAGAAAACATTGAGAGTGTAATTTTTGATTATTTCTAAGAGATGAAGGTATATCTTTATTGTTAGTTATGTACTTGATTGTATAAAATTGGACGATTACTTAAAATTATTTTTTCTGAATATAATTTTTAAACGTTTTAATACTTTCGTGAGAAAACAGCTTCCAAATACTATCAGATGTTTGCTTTTGGGTTTCAATTTTGTTTTAAAAATGAAGAAGATTGTGAGGTTCCAGACAAGGTCCGAACCCAGCACTAAATTTTGTTTAAAAACTTTCCACTAGAGAAAGGAATTTCATAAGATAAACACAACATGAACAAGAAAAAATAATAGATGTGAGTCTCAAATGGCCTGAGTTCACATGTTCGACCGAAAAGACAAACTTTGGCTTCAGCGCTCATAAATATGACAAAATTACGGGGAACTCGAAATGCTATAAAATATTTTGATCAATAAAAAAGTTTCACAAGATATCTAATAGAAATTTTTGACAAGAGAGAAAACAAAACTTATAGAAATATGAGCAAAAGTTACAAGGTTCATTTAAACATCTCATTGTCGCGATTGTGATGCAGTGTCAGGTTAACATTGTGGCTCACCCTTTCTTGTGCCTTAATCGGGTCTTGTTCTACCTGTAGACAAAAAGGGAACCAATTGAGAAGGAAAGAGAAGGATTCAAGAGCAATTAAATTAGTGTGCAGCTAAATTCTATATAAACCCACATCTCAAGGCCATAGACTCTTTTCCAACTGTTCTTCTTTAATTGCATTTCATCAACCTCACAACTTCCAGTCAAATTTGCAGATTCACTTCAATACTCAACTTCATCATTTGGAAACTCAAGAGCAATCCATAGTAAGCATAAGCAAGAACAAAGTGTCTGACAATAAAAGGATTAAGTGACCCCCTTCACCTGTCTTGTCAGCAACATCACTCTGGATCTGGCACCATCCGAACATCATACAGGACTTACAGACTGTTGATCTGAAGTCCAAGGAAATCTTCATGGGACAATCAACAGGAGTAGAAGAATAAAAATTAAATATATAAGAGAGAACTTTATGTAACAATAAATGGGAATTTGTAAAGGTGTCTTGAGTCTGAATCCATTGGCACCCACACGGTTTATACTCACAAACCCTTCTTGGGTTCTGTTTCCTGGCAAACTCAGTATCAGGCAGTGACAACAAATCCATACACTCTTACAAGATGGATGATTCACTCAGTAGCCATAATCAACACTATAACTGGAACCTGTTACCGGTGTTTCTTGTGAAAAAAAAACACAGTCTATCACAAATGTTTTCAAACTTTTGAATAGTTCTTCCTCAGGTAAAATTTGATGGAATGCTTCAAAATAGAACATAAATATTTGAAAATTAAATAGAATGTCTGTATGATTAAATCCATTGTGTTGGGCATGTGCATTCATGCACAAGTGGTGGTAATTAAAGTTCGTTGTGTATGAGGGCCTGCCAGGTTACCAATAGATTAAGCTCCTCTTTCCGGTTTATACAGGCAGTCATGTGGCTAGCTTTGTAAATGGATATGGCTTCTAGCCATATCCATTTACAAAGCCATTTACAAGGCCATTTTAGATGCTCTAGGTGGGGTGTAGTGATGATGATCTCAGCTTTGTTGAATTCCGCTTCGATGTTGGGATCAGATGCATAAGTGACCAGGGCAGTAGTGTATCCCCATGCCTGAGGTCTGTTTGGTGCTCCTGATGTTGAACTTCTTATTCAGTAGCCATATGTGATCAAATACACACCTCAGAAAAATTTTTAACCGATGTGAAATAAGATTTAATAGTACAAACGTTTTCAGACCCCTCCTGGGTCCTTCTTCAGGTAAAAAGCATTTGAAAAATTAATAAATACGAAAAATATTCGTTTTGAACGATTTTTTAAAATCGAAAAGATAGAATGGAATCACGTGACCTATAGCTCTGAACGTCACAGTTTCCATGTCATATCGACAGCTATTTAAATATTTTCCATCTTTTTTAAAGATTTTTACGAATAACTTTGTTGTAAAGCATAAAAAATATATCACATAATCTCAGCTAACCCATTTACTTCCTTTAATTTTAGGTTTACGATTCACCTAATGTGATCATATATGAACATGCTTTTTAGCTTAACAAAAAATATTTTAAGATAGAAATAATTTATCTCATTTTGCAGAGACAATTTTCATTGAAGTAAACTTACATATTAATAGTTATTAATCAATGAAGAAATGATTTTTCATTTCTTCATTGATTAATAACTATTATTTAGAAACACAAATTATTAAAATCATTATTGTTGTTCAAAATCAAGTTATTTATATTTTGTTCTTTTGTATTTTTTTTTATCAGAAATTTTTTAAAGTAGCAGCACAGATAATAATTCAAATTAAATTTCTCAATTTTATTCATCCAGAAATTATATAGATAAGTTTATTAAATTTCTTTTGGTTACTGCATCTAACAATGTATCATTGTTAAATGCAGTAGGGACTTGCAGACTTAAACAAGTAACAGTTAAAGTTTAAGATAAGTTACTTGTATATTCCTGAATACAAGTGTATGGTGGAAAAAATAGAACAATCTAATGTTTTCTTACATCTATTCAGTTTTAGCTCCAAATAAGAACTTATAAGTCATTTAAATAGGCTTAGTAATGATAACGTAATTAATTATTTGTAATTTAATTCAATTTATTTTCCAATTTCATAAGTATTAATTGTAATAGCTTCTTTTTTTGTACTTGTGTATAAATTCTTACCAGATGTAAATTTTAAAAACTGTCATTCAGCATTAATAATTTATTAATTATAATATTTAATAGTAAAACATTAGATACATTTAGTCTTATTAAAGATAATTTTAAAATGATAAATTTACTCAAATAATTGTAACTAAAACCATTAAAGTATTAAAAATAATTCTGATTTATTTCATATTCAAAATTATCATTATAAAATGTTTTAATAAATAGTATCATTAAAATTATATAACTTTCTTCAATATCAAAATTATTTTATAGTAATATAGTATAATTGAAATATTGGAATTTATTATTAGTTTATGAATATAAGATTTTAATTAATAGTAAACTAAAATCAATCTATGCTTTATTTTATATATAAAAAATATAATTGGAATTTTTTCCAGGATTTGGAAAGGAATACATTAATAAAGGATACTATTAGAGAACATTGCGTTAATGATTTGGTAAATTCTTGGTATCATATTGTGGTATGTATAAAATTTTAATTATAAATTTTGAAAATTTAATACTGAATCATAAATTTAAAAGATAGCATCTATATATATTTTATTTAATATATTTGTCGACAAGAATGTCTGCAGTAAAATATCTTTTTACTGTTTTAGGATCATTGTTCAAATTCAATCCTATTTTTATCTAGTTTAGGTCAAAGTGTCATTTAATATCAAATTGATTGTATTGGCTGATCTTACTGGCTATTAATCTGTCCATAATTGAATATAAAATTGAGTTTAGCATTATAAATTATAGTCCTACATGACTCAGTCATACAATACTATAATTTAATTGCTCAATGATGAGATTAACACTTATATCAAAGATCAAACCAAATTAATAGTTACATTTCTTTTAAAAAGTAATGGCATGCACATAAATTCTTACCAGATGTGTATTATAAAAACTATCATTCAGTGTTAATAGTTTCCTTTCAAGAAAAATAACACAAAACTGTTGAAAAACTAAATTTCATATATTTTACAAATACTCTTGAAAACAATAAAACTTTCATCTTCAGGTGTTTGCAATACGAGAACAGAACAACTTAGTATAAAATTCAAAATAATAATTGATTTTTTTAAATGAACAGTGTCCCAATTACATAAGAAAAAAAATTGTAATAAAATAGTGTGTAGAATGTAATGCATAATTAATAGGACAAAGAAAACAAAGTTTTACTTAAAAATAATTAAAACGATGAATTTAACACAGCTTAAAAGTATTTATTTAAGTTTTGTAATAAGGGAATCTGGACAAGTTTACAATAATTGTATTAATATATTGACCCATATTAGAACCAAGCCCTCACATATAATACTTCTACTTAATTTGAGATTGTTATATTGCTCTGATGTTTGGAAATATAATAGGTAACATCCTGAATGTTATTCTATGTATGAAGAGTGCATGTTGGAAGAATAATATAATTTTGGTCAATGGCTTTGCTTTAGTTCTCATATTGGAGATGATATAGAGCAAACAATGAACATAACAATATTTGAGAAAATTAAATTTACTGAATAAATAATTTGTATTTAAAGTGGCTGATAAAATGTAGCTTGATTTAATGACTTCATCACTATTAATGGAAGAAAGGAGATGCACTCATTAAACCATATTACATTATTCTTCAGAATTGTTTCCAGTTGTACTTTTAATTGCAATATAACATCATGCTTATATTATAATAAATGTTTTCAATGAATGTTAAATTTTTTGTTGATACAAAAGTACAGCGGGTGATCGGTTAATGAACGTAATCCGTTCCAAGACTGTGTATGCTACCTGAATTGTTTGTTAACCGATTATTGATTTACCATAGATTTTTATGGGAATTTGATTAATTCATTCTAGAGACACCAAAAAATAAATAAAAATTTATATAGTTTCTTACTATGTTTATTTATATGTAATAATAAAAATACATATATACACAGTCTTGCATTTTTATCAGTCATGTTTTTTCCTCTTGTGAGGCATTAAAGAATCTGTCCAATGTCAATTGCTTTTCTCTCTTCTTCAGGATTTTTCTGAAGTAATTGATAGCATTGTCGTAGAGATCTCCAAGCCTATTAACCTCAACCTGGTTAGGATGCCATTCTAAGATCGTTGTTCTGACATCCTCCCACTTCTTCAAAAGATCTTTAATGTAGATGTTGGCATTGGTCCTTTTTTGTCTTCTTCTTTTTCAAAGAAAACACATCTTGCTGAGTTTCTTCTGTTGTCAGATCAGTTTCAGGTTCCATTATAAGCTGCTAAATGTTGTTTGTTTTTCAGATGTGATTTTTGTTACTCCTTTAGCTGCCTAAATCTTCTTGATTATATGTTTTTTAGATAAGAGTGTGCCTACTGTAAACCTGTTCAAGCCATACTGCCTAGCAACATCAGATATCTTCTGCCCACTCTCTGCCTTGGCTTTTATCTCTTGCTTGGGTTCTATGGTGAGCACAGTTTTTGACACTCTGCTCTTTTTAGGATCCATAATATTATCAGTTTCTTTTTTAAATAAAAAGTTCAGAAAAGCACTTACAAAAATTCAGAGAACATAAATCAACTAGCGCACAAAAAAATTATGTAAATGTGAGGTCCAGATGAAAAAATTTGGTGCTAAAACATTAACAAATATCCGATGGAACAGTTAAATGTTCGTGTTTTGAAAATAAAAACTAATTCAAAACTTAATGAGTGTCCGCTCGACAGTGATAAAAAAAATTTTTGTCATAAAGTTTACAATAATAAATCAGAAACAAAAGTATTATAAAAAACACACCTTTAACAATCCAGCAAATAAAATTTACTAAATTAATGTGTGTGTTGTCCAAACATAAAAATCTTTTGTGAAAGTGTTTGTTGTCCGATTTATTCACACTCCAAACTGTTTGTTAACTGATCATCCACTGTATTATTTTCTGTGCTGTTCTCATAATTGTATATACAAAAGAATACTACAATATAATATAAATCATACATAATTATTTTATTTCTGAGTTTAAGAAAATATAGATTTTTTTAGATTAGAAATATTGTAGATTTTACTCAAGAAAATGATGGTTTTAATTAATTAATTACTTACTTTTTATTAGACGTCCTATCAGAATTCCCATCCAGAACTCTCTTGTTTATGCTTAGAAGTAATTGGAGGATATGTTGCATGGATTGATATTGGTCTTATTGCCAATGACCGTTTTGTAGGAATTTTAGTTCATTTTCTTGGTCATCAAGATCTTCGTGAAGCTGCCTGTGATTGCATTCACGAAATTATAAATAAGGGAATGGATCCGGCTGCTAAAACTAAATTAGTTGAATCTTTTATGGCAGTACTGGATCAAGCTGGAGTATTAAATACAGCCGAAGTAAGTAAATAAATTTAATAAATAAAGAAATATAGTAAATACTGATTGATTATTGTTTAGCATTTTATATTTAAAACTTTTGCTTTAAATAAATTCTGAAAACTTTAATTAAAATTTTTTACTTAGAAGTTTTGTTAAAGAAGTTTTTGAATAACTTTATTAATTTTTTTTAATAAGAAGTCTTATTACTACAGTAGAGCGTCGTTTATCCGAATCAATTGGGGACTGGGGTTGTTCGGATAACTTATTTTTCGGATAACCAATTATGGACGGAAAAATATATTAATTTATTCCGAGTTGAAATTTTTCTCCGATGCGTGTCGCTTCGCGTTGAATTTTCGTCGATGTTAAGCCTAACGAAGACTATTGTATCGTTAAAAATTATTTTTTTATTTTGTACGAACAAAATAAATATATTGAAAAATATAAAAACAATAAAAAATTATACTTCAGAAGTTAATTTAGTATCAAAAATGTAAAATATTTGAGTAGCCGAAGACATAGCCAAAGATTACAGCGCCACAGCACTGGCGAAAATTTAAATTTGTCGACTGGAATTCCTTCGGATAACTAACGTTTCGGATAACAGACCTTCGGATAAACGACGCTCTACTGTATTTTGAAATTTTGACGTGTGGTACATGTATATTTTTAGATGGAGAAAACTAAAATAAGAATAAAGATGTTTAAATTTTTAATTCTAAGATAACATTTTTTATTAGACGTTAATAAAAACAGAATTTTTATAGTGCTAAAAGTTATTATGTAAGTTATGTTTTGATTTTTGAAACAATAATGATATGAAATTAAAATCTTTATAGATTGTAATCCAAAACCTCTATTATCATCTCTTCTTGTGTACCATTTACCGTCTAGTAGTTTCAACTATAGTTTTTGTTTTTATTTTTACTTTAATAGTTGATTATTTTGACAAAATTATATGGGGATATGGCAGGAAAATGGATGATTATAAATAGACTGTTATTAACTCTATATCACACTTCATACACAAAATATACAGGACTATGTAATGTGGTGCTTTTCTTTCATTTGATTAGTTCTTGAAATATACATAAAGGAAGGTTTCTGATTTGAGAAACTTCTCTTTAGAACTTGAATTGAAATTATAATGAATTTGTTATTATTTTCTCCAATTTTCTAAAAACCAGAGAACTTGAACATTTTTGAAATCCCTCTTAAAAACCTTTAAACATTCAAAAAATTCATGACACTAAGTACAGTAGTCACCACTGAACTTAGATCGGGCCGCAGTTAACATGTCTAAATAGGTTAAAAAAACGTAGCTTTGATTTATTGCATGAATGTTTTACATAATTTAAAGCAAATATACAGTAATTAATCTTTACTTTTGCTAAATACCAACTTGATATCTTGCAAGTTTAACAAGATTGAGCCAGTCAAACTTGTGTCACAGGCATCAAAAAACATAGACCACTGTGTCACCCCCTTCAATGAACATAGACATCTGCATGTTTAATATTTTGTTGCATCACCTTTGTAACCAAAACACCTTCCATACATTTCGGCATGCTGTTGACTAGGTGTTCACATTCATCTGCCGTTATGGAATTCCAGATAGTTAAGATGGAAGCTTTTAGTCCTTCAACTGTCTGAAGGCATGATTTTCTCAGATGTCTCTTCATAATGTTCCATACATTGTCAATTGGTGAAAGATCTGGGCTATTGGATGGCCAAGGAAGAACTTTTATGTTTATTTCTGCAAGCCACTGTTTTGTTTTTCTGCTTGTATAACATGTGGCCCAAACCTGCTGAAAAATGCAGGTTCTATTTGGATATAGGACTTTGCTATGGATAGAAGTAAATACTGTTGTAGAATATTAATGTATTTCTCTGAAGCAAGTGTCCTATCAACAAATGTCAACTGACCCATACCACTGGCACTCATACATCCCCAAACCATGAAACTGGCAGGAAACTTCACTGAGTGGTATAATAATGATGGTTTATTAGCTTGACTGGCAGATCAAATGACACGTTTGCTTTTGTCTGTTGCTGGTAATTCAAAGTGTGATTTATCAGACCACAGAATTTCATGCCACTTTTGTAGAGACCAGGAAAGATGTTCTTTGGCTCACTGTACCCATTTCTTCTTTTGATGTGCTGTTAGCAAAGGTTTTACACATGCTGCATAGAACTGGAAATGCATTTCTTGCAGTCTCCTCCATGTTGTTGATACAGATACATTCTTTTCAGTTGTATCATTCCATATTATAGTTACATTCAATATCTGTTGCACGGCGGTTGTTTTTTACGATTTTTTTAAAACTCCTATCATCAACTTTTGAGGTTTTTTGTTGATATCCAACAGCTTTCTTAGGTATAGCATAGCCATGGTTAGTGTAATAAACAATAATCTGGTGCACTGTTGTTTTGCTTAGCATTAGCTCTTCTAATAGCTCTTTCAGACATGCCACGACTTTGTTTAGCAAGGATAGCATTCCTTAAATCTTCTGAAACGGCTTTTCTGCTGGTCGTTGTAGACAAAATGCAAAGGTTCATAAATAAAACTAAAAAAGCACCTTATATCATTCACAGGCTAAAGTGAGGCTAAAATAATCAGTTGTTTCAGAAATACTGCAATTATAACATTATTTAAATGCAAATTATTGACCGGTTTATGTTCATTGGACATGGGTGACGCAGTGGTCTATGTTTATTGATGTCTGTGACTCAAGTTTGACTGGCTCAATTTTGTTAAACTTACAAGATATCAAGTTGATATTTAGCAAAAATAGAGATTAATTAATGTATAATTGTTTAAAGTTATGTAAAACATTCATGCAATGAATCAAAGATACTTTTTTTTAAACCTATTTATTGGATGAATTGTAAAATTGGCCTGGTCTAAGTTCAGTGGTAACTACTGTATTTCAGCAATTTTGAACAATCTTTGAAAACAAAATAAAAATTAGAATTATAAACATTAAAATTTCAACTCTAACCTATTTATTAATGTATATTTCATTCCTGATTCTTTTTTTATTCATATTTCTCCTCATTTGCATATTCTTTTCTTTAATTAATTACACTTCTATGCATTTGTAGCTAGAACTATTTTAAGATGATCAATACAAAACCTTCCTCACTTGTTTCTATCCGTTTATACACGAGTACACTGTGGTCTCTACAGAGTACTGAGACCACAGTGTACCTGAAGAAGGCCTATTAAGAAGACCGAAAACGTTCATACTCGTGTATAAACGGCTAGAAACAAGTGAGGAAGGTTTTGTATTGATCATCTTTTAATTAATTAATTAATTTTATTTATTGTTGGCTAGAATTAATTATATTTAGTATTTAAATATATTTAATAATGACATATAACTTAGTACATTTAGCTTTAAATTTGCATGGATTAAGTTATTCTCTAACTACATATAATATTTAAAAAGCTGTTTTTTAAATATGATATGTGTTTTAATTCATACAGTTTATAATTTTAATAATCTGTGATTTATTATTATTGAACATTTGAAGAAATGCTTAATTCTATAGCATCTTATATTGGTGGAACCATCTAGGTGACAGTCTTTCTGTGAGGGCAACCAATAATGTAAACACACACAGCAGGGCTCATAGCAACTCATTATTTTCACTATTTTTCAGATTGCTCATTATTCACTACTATTTGAAAAAAGTCACTTTTCTCACTAATTTTGAGATCTGAGTATACGTTACAAGCTATATACTGTATTTTGGATACAATTATGACATGTTTATGAGACTTGTGACAAAATAGATAATGTAATCATTAATGACGTATCCATCTTGCAAGAGTTCATCATGATTAGCTAGAGAAAGTATGGCAATTTGAGCAAAAGAAGGAATTAGCTAGACCCAGCAGTCACTTAACATAACAAATTTCGAAATGAACCAGGAACTTTGTCAAACTTGCATCATTTTTACTTCAAATTTTTATTAAAATTTCAAAATATGAAAATACCACCAAGATAATTCAATGGATAATGTATTTTGGACCAAATGAATCTAGAATGACATAATCCATGCAGATTATTATGTCAAACTCTATTGGTTGCGGTATGAGTCAGAGAAGAGAAAAGTATTCTTACTTAAGTCTTATTTTGAAAAAAGAAATAATACTGACAATTAATGAACACTGAAAATGAAGATTACACTAATAGAAGTTAGTGATGGGACGATGAATCGGAATTGAACAAGTCTTGTCACAATTTCTGATTCTTAAAACGATTCTTCCACATTCAACAAGAAAATTAATTATATGTTTCAGTCAAAAACGTCAGCAAGTGTTTCTGATATAAAATAAGCTTAGTTTTCCAACAAAGCACAATGTAACAAGGGACTACTGTATTAACTTTATCTGAAATAAAATTACATATTTATTTGTAGTACACAATAAAAGCATGCATATCCACATATAAGTGGTAAATTTTCGGGTTTCTTTTGGAAGATTGATTCTGGATTTCCTGATTGTTTTCTATTCTTAAGCTTGATGTTTATTAATTAATGAATGTACTATACTCATAATGTAAATCATTCATTTTACTAAATGAAAATAAACTTTAGAAAGTAATCAAAAGAATCAGAATTGGGAGTTTTCACAGAATTGAAATCAGGAGAAATTTTGGTATCGTCCATCACTATTTAGAAACAAACACTATTGATCATATACAAATCATACAGATTAGTAGAAGAAATTACAGTGAAAATAAAAAATTATTAATCCAGTGCNGTTAAATTTTTTGTTGATACAAAAGTACAGCGGGTGATCGGTTAATGAACGTAATCCGTTCCAAGACTGTGTATGCTACCTGAATTGTTTGTTAATCAATTATTGATGGACCATAGATTTTTTACAGTAATTTGATTAATTCATTCTAGAGACCCCAAAAATAAAAAATTATTAATCCAGTGCAATTGCATATACCAGTTCCTGTCTATTTTTTTTTTACAGAAAGGTTTCTCACTTTTTGGTTACATTTTACTCCCTATTTCTGTCCAAAAACTTACTTTTCTCATTGGTTTTGACTTACATATGTGCCCTGCTATGAATTCTGATATAACTATAACTAAAACTACTTTTTAATTCTAACTAACTCTGTTAAAATTACACTTACATTTACAAGAATAAGGTTTCAAATCATGGAGAGAAAAAACTTGTGACCATTTAGTTCCAATTTTAATCCAAGTCTGGTTCTCATTGTTTTAAAATACTCTATTTTATGACCTTTTTTTTACTCTTTTCTCATGCCATTCTTAACAATTTCTTAGAATGTCCAGAATAAAACAATATTTACAAAATATATACACTCATTGAGACATTATTTCCATAGTTTATGTTGCAGTGATGTTATTTAGCACAAATATATTTAATATGAATTAAATTTTTGATTTTTTTAACATATATTTTTGAAAATAAAAAAGTTTAGTAAGATAAGAAAAACATATGAAGTAATTATAAAGCTTGTCTAACATATTGAAAATATAACAATATTTTCCTACAATGCCCATGTTTTTGCTGCCTTTTTAACGTAAAACACTAATAATAATCAAAGGAAAGTGTTCATTTCATTATTATTTGCTTTATTATTCTGTAAAAATATTAAAATAATGGAAAATTTGAAAGAATTACATTAATCAGATCCTAAGATATCTTCTAAAAATTTAATTAAAATTTTTAAATTAATATTAAAATTTTTTAATAATCTTAGCATAGTAAACGAAAACAATTATGTTCATGTGCATATTAATTTATAAAAATGCATATTACTGTACATTTCAATAAAATGTTTGATTATTTAGGACGATGACAGTGAATTTATGGTGAAATTAGCAAAATTAGTAAATGTTATGGGAACGTCTGTTCTAACTTCCTGGACAAAGTAAGTCTTGAAATTTCTTTANTATTAATTTATAAAAATGCATATTACTGTACATTTCAATAAAATGTTTGATTATTTAGGACGATGACAGTGAATTTATGGTGAAATTAGCAAAATTAGTAAATGTTATGGGAACGTCTGTTCTAACTTCCTGGACAAAGTAAGTCTTGAAATTTCTTTACTAATTAAGATATAACATCTAACCTTTTTTATAGTAAATGGAAATAAATGTATATATTGTTTAATGTATTAAATAGTTTTTTATGAGTAAGAATAAAAATATATTCTATTATAATATTTATTGTTAGGTTAATTACTCTGTAGAATTATAACATATAAAACTGTATTTTAATAAATTTTTTTACAATACACATGTTAATATAATGATTGTATGTAATATTAATGTAATGTATATTTTATAAAAGAAATTGGGAGTGGAGGTGGCTCACCTTCACCTTACTGCAATGCATTTAATTGAAAAAAATTAGTTTTAAGTATAAAAACTTTTTTCTGTATAATTTGAAAACTAAAAATATTGTTTTAAAATAAAATTCAATATCAATGTTTCAATTACAAGAGCAGAAGTATAGGTATCTCTTGCTTATTTGCAGGATTTGATTAATGTGCAAAATTAATTGCGGCAGTCCCTTTATATATGTGGCTTTACCAGCTGTCTTTATTTAACGTTGATACTGTATTTTGATTAATGCAATTTTTATATATGCAGTAGGATTGAAGGATTAATTAATCACATTAATTAAGGGCTACCTATAATTACACAAAGTAAATATATTCTAATATACTAAAATAATTACAAAATACCCATTGTGTGCCTCTTCTATATCAGTATTTAGAGTTTAAATGTTAGCTAAAATTTAATACTGCAATTAATTGTATTAATAGAGAATGTAGATCCTACTGTTTTTAAATTACATTTGTCTTGATAACTGATTATTCAGATGTGCAGTTTCATTTTCTCAGTCCTTTCAGTTTTCCATAGATGCCAAATAGAATTAAATTCTCATTAATTTGTCATAGATCCAATTATAAACTTCAGTTAACTGGTTGAAATTAAAGACAAGATTTTCTATACTCATTTTTCACAAAAATAAGATAGTTATTTTCATAAAAGCAGATGGCTGAAAGGCAAAGATTTCAGTACTTCATTTAGAGAAATCATTCACTCTGCTGTTCATTGTTCAGTGTGTATTAAGTAACTTTGCAACACCTATGCTTTTTAAATTAGGCATAAACAGTTTTTCCTTAGGAAACAAAAACAATGAAAATTTCAAGGCTTTGTACACATTACTCTTACAGTTCTTTTCCAGAATATCTTATTATTGTCATTGTACAGATAGATAGACAACAAATTAGTCGTCTTCATTTGAAAATATCTTTTTGGACTGTAAATGATCCTGACTGAAGTAGAAATTATATATATAAATACATTTGATAAGAAAAGGTAATATTTTTGATGATTTTTTCCTCTAAATATGTTTTATTATACAAGTCCATTTCTCTTTACATTTTAAATTATTTAATTAGAAAAATTTGGCTATGTAAACATGTTTTTTAAAATCTAGTTTTAATTACTTTATCGTGTTAATTTCTTCTGAGTTAAATGTGATAGCACAATGTATGATTTTCAGTCTAGAGATGTCATAAAGCAGAAAATTTGCATTTTCATCTTTGAAAGAAAATTATTTGATTAGTATCTATGAGAAATAAAATTGCATGAAGACTATGGATTCTTCTGGACTATGCTAAATAATAATTTTACAACAAAATAAAGCACTGAGGTAATCAGTGCTTATTTTTAAGATAAGAAAATGATAATAATAAGTGTGTGCACAATTTAAAATTAAAAACAAAATGAAATTTAGAGTAAAAACAATGTATATTTATTTTCTTATTGTGTAATTTGGATATAATTTTATAGATATCTGAACAGATAACTATATTTTATATACGTGTGAAATAAAAAACAAACTTAAGTATTGTATCTTATGTTAGCATCTGCTAACAAAGGCTATTTTTTCTCTGCTTAACTGATTAATCAAGTATCTGACTTGGAAATTCTTAGATCAAAATGCTTGAAAATTTCGAAAATTTTCTTGAGTCTCAGGAGGAAAAGCAGCTCGAGACTTGAGATTTTTATAAAAAATATGTTTACAAATAATAAGCAGAAAATCTATTGTACATAGTAATTTTAAATTAGTAAATAAAAAATTTTAGTAAATTTTATCATAAACAATGGTTAAAATTTTGATTACTATCTAATGAAACGACCACAGGTAATAAACATATTTATTATAATTGACTCGTTAAACATAAACGTTTGCATTAGATATATGTTAAGTTTTTTTATATATTGTTATATATGGTTAATAATAATTATATTTTTTTGTTTATTTTGTGCTTACATTTTCACTTTGTATAAATTAATTCAAAATAACATTTGTTTACAATAAAACTCTCTACTTTAATTTAAAGCATACATTTAATTCATTGCATAAATATATTAAAATTATAATACATGCATTGAAATATAATAATTATAAATAAAAAAATAATTTTCATGGGCAAAATTGTATAGTCTGGGGAATGGAAAAATAGTTACGACTCAAACCCTGTTTGTCAATCTGCTTAACAGTTTGATAATTACCAGTCCCATGGACAATATGTTATCAAGATTAATTGTTGTTGTAAAGATTATTGTTTATAGTTAACTTATGGGACTTATCATGCATTGAGACTTATTTATAAATAATTTATTATTATGCTAATTATACCATAAATAATTTTGATTTTTCTGTATCAAGATTTCCTAGTATTTATAAGAAACAAAAATAGAATATATTAGATGATTTCCATGCCGATTTTAATTAATTAATTCAACATTTTCATTTCATTAGACATTTTTAAAAGAACATATTTATTTAAAAAACAGAAGAAATGGAGACTAAATTAATATTAATTCTATGATTATGTTGTATGAATAAAATAAAAAAATAAAAAATATAATAAATCTTTCAATAAACTAATTCTAGCCTGAATATAGGAGTAGGCTACGTGAGGGATGTTTAAATGCGAGAGATGCTGAGAGCCTGTCGTCAGTGTGGAAGTACATGATTAAAAAGCTCACTAAAAACTCAGGCTAGAATTAGTTTATTGAAAGATTTATTATATTTTTTACTTTTTTTATTTTTTATTTTATTTTGTGTTAAGTTTATATATTCTTCCGTTTCTCTTGTATATTTTAAAAAATTTTTGTTCAAAATTTTGATTTAAATATTTGTATTCTATACATGGAACGTATCTGTTCCATTTTCGGTTTTTGGACCTGATGATGGCCTGTTAATCAGGCTGAAAATGTTAGTTTTTCAATTATATTTCTCAGCAACAAATTAAGGTGTTTATTTTCTGTGTTTATTTGCTGAGCACTTTTAATGTTTTTTTACTCATTGTTTTGTGTAAAAGTAATGAGGTTTGAGTAGTTATGATAATCAAAGTTATCTCTCCTGCTCTTTTTCTGGAAGCTATTGTATTGCAAACCTATCAATGTCACACAATAAAATTCTATCAAATCTTAACATTTTTTATTTATTATAATTGGATAAATTGTATCATTTAAGATTTTCATCTTTTTAACTTTAATTACATGTTTTTAATATCTATTTTTTAGAGTTTTAAAATTGGGAGATATGCAAACTACAGAAGTAATTAAAAAAGCAATTGAAAATAAAATTCCTTTAATGTTGAAGTTTCTTAACCATGAAGATGAAGATGTATCACAGTCAGTTTGCGAGTTTGCCAGAGAGTATCTTCAGTATTTAAAACATGAAATAAAACTGTCTTCTTATGATGATATGGAAAAAGCTAATGTAGAGGTACAAAAAATATTTTTTAGTAATGTAATGTTTTGTATATTATAGAATAAAATGGATCTTACATCAAATGACTGATAACATTTTATAAAAATGATGGTGTGTGTAGTTTACATTTCATTATAATACAGTAAAACCTCATTAAGTGTAAGGATGGTGGAAGTTTAAGGTGTAAAAAATCCCAACTTTGAATTCAGAGTTAACAAGATCAATACTTGATTTTCTCAAATATTTCTGTGGCCATAAACTTTTCACTATCCAGCCATTCCTCAAGAATCTGTTCTTAGAATGATTATAATAGTGTATACAGTTTATGACACTTTTGAGTGCATTGTCAAGGTGCCTCCTTATGTACCAATCAGAAAGCTGGTAACAATCTATTTCAGTAAAAGAATATCACTACTAGGTTATAATGGCATGGTTGTGTTTGATGTGGAGCTATAGTGTTTGTTTATCTTAATTGTATTTGCACAGAATATAAGAGAAAATGGCATTCACGGACCTATCAAAGGGTGGGGGGATACAAAGAAAAATAGGTTTGAGTTAAAATTACCGGCAATTTGAACTTAATGAGATCATATTATATGGAAAGGCCTATATACTGTTTTCAGGACCTATTGATAGCTTTGAGTTAATGCAGATCAACTCGGTGAGGCTTTACTGTATTTACATTATTTTAACATTACTATAAAATTTGTTAAAAGATTTTTAAATACAAAAATAAATTTTTTTTCTTAATTTATTTCTTGCATTCTTGCAGGCAATGATATATATTATTATAAACAGATATAAATATGATGAAACTTACAACTTCGCTCATCAGGTCAGTAAATTATAATTTTATACAATGTAAATAATAATCTCATTGTCATCTATGATAATTTCTTTCTATTTTATAAATCAAGTTTTACATTTCTCATAGATTAATGAATTCCTCAAATGGCCTTCAGTAGACTACGTAATCTCTACCTAGTCCAATTCTTGGATATAAATATTATTGTTTAATTAAAGATATTATTATTATTGCTAATTTTAATTATTTAGCAAGTAAAACGGTGAAGCCATTTTTGGGACGAGACTGTCTCGGAGAGCGCAGGCAATGCATGCGCAAATCTTGCACTCGTACCTGTTTGTAGAAACAATCTCAGCATTTCATATTTTCTTTTGACCTGGTTCTCAGTCCTCTGACTACCTACAAGTCTGGTTTATTTTATGTGTGCATGATTTGGGCATCAAATACTCTGTGCCAAATTGCAACTCCTGACATGTACTCCTTCATACCTCTAAGGTGTGCATCTGTTGACAGCAGCATGATTTTAGAGACGAGACAAAGTCTCGTCAAAAACAGAATTATTGTAAATATTGAAGTCAGATAATGTGAAATGATTATTGATCGATTGTGTCACACATTTCCAATATTAAAAAAAAGTAAAATTAGAATGCACACTTTTAACCAGAATAAAATAAAAATTTTGGGGGCTGAGTGCTAAAGGTGCTTAACACACTAAATACTTTTCCAAAATATTCTTTGCTAAAATGGGGGTGTGTCTTATATGCCATAAAACATGGTATATACTCATACAATTTGTATTATACTTATTGTATGAATTTAGATTGTATTCCTGCAGATAATTGATTGTTCTGTTTGAATATCTATAACTGATGAAGCCTGAAATAAAGTAGATAAAAGTACTTCTAATTAATATGAAAATGTATAACATAAAATGATGATATAAGCTTAAGTAATATACTATACAAATACGCATACATCATTACAATTTATTTATAATTTATAAATGATTCATTTAAACTTAACTTTGTAGTTCTATTTTTGAAAATTAAAGAAATTCTGAGCATAATATTACATGGCAATTTGTGACACATTTCTAAAATAAGTCACATTCACACATTCATAATTCAAACTTTGTTAAAATTGACTTTTCTTTTTTATAATTCAATATTTTATATAAACATGAATAAATATGGAAGCCATTACTTCATAACAACTATTTATTTATTAAGTTTTATTATTTCTATAATCGTTTAATAATTACAAACATTTTATTTTCATCTTAGGGAGAAGATGAAGCACTGTTTGACGAATATAGAAAAAGTTTAAAAGTTTTATTTGACAATATTGCCCAATTGGTAAATATTATTTATTTTATTTAGTTTTTGTTGCTTAAACACTATGTAGTGTAATACGAACTTGGCATTCTTTAATCTTTAAGCAACAAAGAGGACTTACAACACAGTTTCGGATTATCAAAATATTATTTACTTTTACACATGAATTGAACTATCTAATTTTTTTTAATAAATTATTTTCATTTGATGAAGCTCATTAAATTTGCAGAAATTATAAATTAAAATTACTGCATATTAACTGAGATTTACATTAAGAAGCTTTTGACTTTTTAAAGATTATTGCCTCATTGCTTTATTTTATTTCAAAATTTCCTCTCTTAACTATCAATTTACTAGCACTTATTACAAAAATAAAGACAGAGTCTTAAGGACTACTATCTTTATTATCCAAACTTGAACTGACTTCAAAAGATTTTTTTATTATTCAAAATCAACATTTTGATCAAATAATTGATATTTATTTTTATTAGATTATACCTAAATTGCATTTCTTGGGGATAAGATTTTAAAATAGCCATTAAATATTTACCTGTAATAAGCTAGCATTGAATATGGAAAGTTATTTTGAACTATTTTTTTCCAAACAAGTATTTAAATAGAAATTAACTAAGCTAACAATGACTTTTCTAGGAAAGACATGGTTCAATGCTAAGAAACTTACATTATTTAACTCATTATTTCTAAGTAAAGTGAAATAAGTAATGTCCCATTTTCAGTTTATTGTCTCTAATTAAATGGTTCTAATTAAATTTAATTAGAATCATTTACTTAGTTTAAATTAAATTAGTTTTTAATAAAATATTATAACAAATGGCCCCACCTCAATTTTAAAGTTTTTTCAGAAAATCAAGTTTAAAGTTTTTTGTCAGGAAATTTACACAATTTGTTGCCTGATTTTTTTAATATGGGATCTGATTAAAAATAACAATAACACTCACTGGTCACTATCTTGTGAAAATAACAGAGCCCAATAGTTTTAATCATAGAACAGTGCTAGTAGAAGCATAATCTTCTAGTAGGACCATCCATGCCAGTAAGGTCCATGAAGAAAAATGAAGCAAAAAACACAATGAGCAGAGTGGGTGGCTGCTGAACAGCATCTGTCCTCACTTGTTTTACTTACTTGTTTTGTTTATTGCTTTTGATCTTTAGTTGGTGATAAGATCTAAAATTTAAATAACTTGTTTGGTTATCACAAAAAATTTAATGTAACTAAGGGAAAAAAGCAATGAAGAATAAACTTATAATATTAAAAGAATTATTTTTTTGTCTTGCGACTTTCAGTTCTTCCCAAAGATAATGAAACAAAAGTTTATTTATATTTATCTATTTTTTTTTAATTATATCAAATTAGTATTCTTTTTTAATATGATTATTAAATTATCTTTTATCATAAGAAAATTAGACATTTTATAATTAAACGTATGATTGTAATCTATTGATTTTATTTTAAAAAATTATTTCTGATACCATTTGTTTTATTAACATATTTTAAATTTATACTTAACATTTTATACAGGGTGTCGGGAATTTTCAAATACAGTCATATCTGTTATTTATCATTTAATTGCAGTTGTTTAAATGTTACTTTATTTCAATAGCAAAAGCCATTGCAGCATCAAATGTAGTCTAATTCCAGCAAGTATCCTCTGAAATTACCTGTTGAAGTGTCTTTCCTGCATTGAACATTGGACAAGTAGGCAAGTTAATGAGTAACTCCTTTTAGGGCCAAAAATTGGCCTTACTATCATTATGTATTAGTTTAAATTTTTTCTGCTTTGGGTTTTTTCCCTTGCAAACAACTTTTCCATTGACACCACGATTTGTTAATTAGGCAAATTTTTTAGATAAAACTTTATATTTTAAGGTGTTAGTTTTAGGCCAATTTTACACATGACACAGCAATGTTATGGCTTTGCCATTTAAACAAAATAACATTTGAACAACCATGATTGGATGATAAGTAACAGAGATAAGATTGTATTTATAAATTCTGACACCCTGCATACGTATGAAGTTACAAAAAAAGTATTTTTTCTTTAATAAGATTTAAAATCTTTACCTTAAAAGTAGAGCAAGCATTTAATGTAATAGTATTTCATTATAAAAAAATAAATTACTAATAAATATTTCCTTTAAAAACAGGATAAAGAAATGGTTTTAACCAATGTTCGGGAAATGATTGTAAAAACCTTGCAGCAGTGGCGGACTGCTCCGTTTCAAGATGTCGAAGTTGCTATTACTTTTCTGTATCTTTTGGGAGAAGCTATCCCAGTAAGTTCTGTTATAAATGGTATATAATTATTATTTTCATTCAATAAATTTATTTATCTGTATAAAAAAGAAAGTAGTCTATCAGNAAATCATTTTGTAGGAGAAAGTGATCGACAGGCTTCCATGACAGAGATGTTGCAATTGGTAAATTTTAATATTCTGAAATTCTTTATATTGAACATGTTAAAGGATTTTGAATAATCGAGAATTTACTGTGTATTGGATTCAAATGCTTTTCTAGTATACGCTTACATAGTTTATACTGGATATACATTATGTAACTAATTTACATCTACACATATCATTTAATTGCAGTTGTTTAAATGTTACTTTATTTCAATAGCAAAAGCCATTGCAGCATCAAATGTAGTCTAATTCCAGCAAGTATCCTCTGAAATTACCTGTTGAAGTGTCTTTCCTGCATTGAACATTGGACAAGTAGGCAAGTTAATGAGTAACTCCTTTTAGGGCCAAAAATTGGCCTTACTATCATTATGTATTAGTTTAAATTTTTTCTGCTTTGGGTTTTTTCCCTTGCAAACAACTTTTCCATTGACACCACGATTTGTTAATTAGGCAAATTTTTTAGATAAAACTTTATATTTTAAGGTGTTAGTTTTAGGCCAATTTTACACATGACACAGCAATGTTATGGCTTTGCCATTTAAACAAAATAACATTTGAACAACCATGATTGGATGATAAGTAACAGAGATAAGATTGTATTTATAAATTCTGACACCCTGCATACGTATGAAGTTACAAAAAAAGTATTTTTTCTTTAATAAGATTTAAAATCTTTACCTTAAAAGTAGAGCAAGCATTTAATGTAATAGTATTTCATTATAAAAAAGTAAATTTCTAATAAATATTTCCTTTAAAAACAGGATAAAGAAATGGTTTTAACCAATGTTCGGGAAATGATTGTAAAAACCTTGCAGCAGTGGCGGACTGCTCCGTTTCAAGATGTCGAAGTTGCTATTACTTTTCTGTATCTTTTGGGAGAAGCTATCCCAGTAAGTTCTGTTATAAATGGTATATAATTATTATTTTCATTCAATAAATTTATTTATCTGTATAAAAAAGAAAGTAGTCTATCAGTTTTTTCTTTAATTTTTTTAATTTAAATAAATTTATAGCATATGGATTATGGCTCTAAGACTGCCATTTATTATCAGACTTATAGCAAGATGGAAAAAAATTTATAGTAGTTTTACAATATGAAAAATTAATGTAGGAAAATAAAATTTAAAATGTTGANTGTGACACGAACCAAGGTTGCAATAAAGTTGTGAATTTGTTCAAACAAGATAAATCCATGAATATTGCAGTTTTAGGTGACAAAATGTTGACGATAGTTGTGTCTTGTAAACCGGCCTTTATACTTATTCAGTTTTTTGAGCAACACTATTACTGGAGTTCTTGGAAAAAAGGAAAGAGACAAGACTCTTTATGACTTGTATATTTCATGTGAAGCACTAGAGACAAGAGTTTTCTTAACAGATCAGACTTTCTGACTATAATAGATGCAGCTTATGTTTGGGTCTTTCTAAACAGAAAATGCACAAAATACTCCTTTGAACCTTGTGGCAACATGTAGGAAAGGCAACAGAGGATGCCCAGAAGGTAAAAAATATAAATGAGGGAATGGCAGTTTAGACAGGCAAAGCAAAAGTGGCTTACAGTTCTATTGAAATTTTTATTTTAACAAAAAATAAGTTACATGGTACATAGCTAGGATCTAGAGTTTACTAAATTGGAAGCCCTATGCATGTGCACAGTCTGTACATTTAGTAATCTGCCACTGGTAACTGCAACATATTGTTGGTATGCTATACAGCAGGGGTGTCCAACCTTTTTGTTTCTCTGGGCCGCATTGGAAGAAGTCAAGGAGTTTTGGGCCATAAGTTTATATAATATATACTTGTGACCCAATATACATGTATATTTAAGGATTAATATGTCTAGATTATAATAATAAATATTAAAACTTTATTACGAAAAAGGATATTTAAAAAAATTATTTCTACAGACACTTTCAATTTTTACTTAGAAATAGAAAAATTCATTTATTATAAGAGACAAACGAAAATTTATTTGGAAAACACAAATATTTGTTTTATTTGGGTCTCTAATAAAAAGCGACCAAACACCATTATAAAGTACATTTTTATTCAAGTAATACACTGTATTTATAAATAATATGTAGCCCAAAAAGTAGCCAAAGCGCCAAATGATATTTTTTACGTCAAACAAAAAAAGTAGCCACATTTAGCGCGATGTAGCCAAATCTTGCAACGTTGGAAGAAATACTAATCAAAGCTGGAGTTGTGATTCAAAGAATTATAGATCCAAATGAGGGGAAAGAAGAGAAAGGACAAAAGATAAAGAAGTGAGAACAGTTGGAAAATTAAGGGTCAATATTTGCATAACAGAAGATCTATTTAACCTTTCTCACTACTTTTTATCTATTGTCCTTTCTCACCTTTCCCTCCTTTTCCCAAATTTTGGTCTATAATCCTTTGAGTCACAACTCCAGCTTTATTTAGTAATCCTTCCTCATTTACACATCTCCAAGTATTTGAAAATATTTCCTTTTTACTCAAAACAAAAATATGAATAAAGGTTTATGGCTTTGTGAAACTTCTTTTTTGAGTTTATGCAGTTGAAATAAATAAATAATAATAAAATTAAAACAGTTGTCGGTTTTGTTTACACGTTATTGGGCCGCATTGGAACTTGCCTTGGGCCGCATGCCATGGGTTGGACACCCCTGCTTTAGAGGATGCCAACTTAGTAGGGAGAACTGTACAGCAGTAATGGGCAACATGTGAACAGTATTACCAGATTTGGCAATATTTCAAGCAATTTAGTGATTTTGCAATGATTTTTTTCAATCTGGAGAGTTTTCTGTACTGCTAGAAATTTATTCAAGGTGTGTTTAAATTTCTTCCCAAAAAACAAGGCTGGAGTTGAGCCTAAAAATCTAGACAATTAACACTACTTGGCTTGGATCTAAAAGGTGCCCATAAATTAATTCGTGAACTTTTATTTCTTTATATTTGAATTAAATGGTTAGTGAACAAATTGAGTAGTCTCTAAACCTTTTTTTTTTTTTTTTTTTCAAACTTACTTGGTCTATGGCTTCCATAATCTGAATGTAAATTCCATAATTCCTTTATATGAAAAATTTCTACAAAGAAGCCATATGCTTTTTAATTCCTTTTGAATTGGCATGCTTTGTCTTTTGGTTTGTAATAACAAATGCAAAGTGTATGAGTAAATAAAAAAATCTAAGTTTTGGACACAAATTAATAAGATTATATTCATTTTGTAAATAAAACATTAATGTATTTTAATCAACTTACAATTTTATGACATTTTATTCTTATAACAAAGTGTTTTAATTAATTAATTAAGTTTGTTACCTATTTGGGTACTCCTGTTTCATCGAGTTCCTAAACTCTGCAGTGATGAGGAAATGAGCTGAATTTTCAATGTGGAGTCTCATGAAATATCAGAATATCAACAAATTGCTCTTGTTGTTCAATGGTGAGTGTTGACAAGAGTTTATATTGATGGATCTTTGATTCAGTTGTATTTTTTCAGAAGAGGTTGACCAGTGCAGTTGTATTTTTTCAGAGGTTGACCAGTTCAATTCTTCACTCAATTCCAAATCATTGTCTTTGGAACATGTATACAGAGAGCAAGAAAGCAGTAATTTACATCTTTATCTTCCAACTTTTTCCACAATAGTAATTTCTTTGTGAAGGCTAAAATTTTGTGCCGCAACAAACCAAAACTGATAAAATACGAACTTTTATCAACAATGTCAAATATCAGTATTTGTTGGCAATGAAAAATATCAATTTTAATACTTTTAACAAAACAATTCACTCAGCTGTAAGGCAATTGCACTAGTATTAAAACTTCTGGGGGATTGTTAGAGTTTAACACTAGTGCAATCTCCCAATAAACCAGGAAATTGTAGTAGAGTTGACATTTATCAGTTTTGGTGAATCAATATTCTAAAATTTAACATATAGCTGTCAATATTGTAAACATGAATCAGTTTCAATTTTGGTTGATATATCGGTTATCAACACAGCTTTAATAGTGAGCTAAACTACTTTTTTCAAACCATGATGCCCTTAGTGGAAGACTGCAACACACAGTTTGAAAAATTCTGCTCTAAACCAATGAGCTTTTGTGCTTTCATTTGTAAGCAACACTTGTAGAAGTGCGTATCAGATTATATTGACAGTATTGTATCATCTCTAATTTAATAACTACAGAAATCTACAAATTCAGTTATATAATCTTAGAAAGGAAGGAAACTGAACTGAACAAAATTTGTAATCATTATTAAGAACTTTAGTGCAATAATTTATGCTTTATTTAATTATTATTTGATGCAAAATGTTATTTTTAAAACAACTTTCAGATTGCATTTGTTGACGAAAGAGGGCTTCGACACAGCAGTCCAAGAATTCGGAGTAGGACATCTTATCTGTTTTCCAGGTTTATAAAATGTTTGAAGTGAGTTTATTTTTTATTTTTTAATAGTTTGATAAAATCTCTTACCTATAAAAGACTTACCAATTAAAATCTGTGGAAATAAATTAACATCTTCGAATTACTAGCAAAATCTGTTTAATATAGACTAATGTTTTTGACCATCCTAAAATGGCCTCCTTCAGGTAAACTTAAATGGAACAATATTTAAAAAATAGAATGTATAGTGAATGACAAAATATGGATATTTGAATTACATTCTATCTCACAAGCTAATATAAAATAAAATGAAATAAACACAATACTAAAATTAAAATATTGACAAAAAACTCCAACACAGATGATTATGGAATGTCACACAACATTTTCCAAGCATTGGATATGGTGTCTTCATCCTCTACTTTCATCTTTCTTTCTATGTTGAGAACACTTAAAAAGTTTTTTTAAAGAAATCTGTTTGACTGCTGAGTAATGAATGATTTGGCCAGATTATCCATAAAATTAATATAAATAATTAGTATGTTTCTTGATAATTCAACATACATTTAAAGACAGTACGAAATTTAATTTGTAAAGGGACTTATTAACATTTTATAACTCATAATAATTTTTTGAAAATACTTTAAATCTTGTTTTCTAAAGTTGTGTTACCCAAAATATGAAATTATTTTTCTTAGCACATTTAAAATTAAAAATAGAATAAGACATTTATACTTGAAAGCTTTAAACTGTGCTTACACTTAAAAAAAATAATATACACCCAATTCTGTTGTTATATGGTAGATTAGTTCCAAACCATAACCTGCAATCACATGCATATTTCCCCTCTCCACTTGCATATGGTGGGACTTTTTTGCTGATTTTTCACACAATTGCCGTTCCTCAAATTTGAAAATTCTATGATGTGGTATCTCTACATGTGCCAAATTTCAACATCACACATTGTTTAGTTTATGAGAGATTGTTTCATTTACAGAATAATGGTCTCAACTTGGCTGCCATAGGCAGTCCTTCAAAATTTGCATTAGCATGGGCTAGTATGAAACAAGTTCAGCTGGAAATAAATGACAGGAGGGATGAACTGTTCTCAAGAGGACTAGAAAATGATTTTTCCATACTTTTCAGACATAAAATAAAGCCACAAAAGCATTTAAATTGAAGATTATAATGCAGCAGGTTATCTTAAGAAAACAGACATTCAAGGTCATAGCAACACCATGTCAATGCCACAAATAGCTGACAAACATCCATGATGTCACAGAGGAAAATTCCCATGTTACAAGTGTGATCGTGTGACAATAAGGAGGTTTTTAAGAGTCTGAGATAAGCATAAAAATTTTTTTGACCAAAATTTTTNTTATTCTTTTATTTAAATCTTTAAAAATAGATCTTATTTATTGAAAAACTTTAAAATTTATCATATGTTTATGATATTAACCTTTCAGCAGTGGGTTAGTCAGGTATGGTGCTATCCCTATTTAGTGTAGAATAAACGTGGGAAATTTTTTAAGTATTTTTCTACATGTTTTTTCTCATTACTGTTTCAGAAAAAGGTTTTGTAAACAATTACGTCTAGTAAAGAAAAGTCTTTTTTATTGTTACATAATTCCTTTTTTATGTGAATTTTTTTGCGGTAGTTTTTGGCAATATCCGTCCTTCACCACTGCCACACGATCGCTGTTGATGGATATATCCATCAGTCACTGCTGAGTGGTTAATTTTGTTATTTGTAACTTTAATAAAATATCTATAATCTTTTTATTGTATTATTTTAAATTATGCATTCGTATTAACATAAAAATAAGATATTATTAAAATAATTTTTAAAATATTTTGATTTTTCAGTTAGTTACTAGTGGAGTTAGCAGATACGGCCATATTGCCGTTACCTTGCAATTTTTTGAGACAATTGTAAGATACGAGAAATTTTTTATTCAGGAACCACAACATATTCCAGATGTATTAGTGAGTTATCTATTAAATAACTAGTATTATATGAGAATTTTTAAAATTAATCCAGCCTATTTAATCATTCAAATAAATTTTAATTTGTGGAATTAGTTTCTTTATATTCTATATTTTCTGTTTGTAATTGATAAATTATATTTAATTATATTGTAATTAGAGATGATAACCAATACCAATATGATAACAACAAGCGTATCAAAATCAGTTTGTAAAAAGAACTGATCTCTGATACACATTCTTTATCTCATTTTGCCATGGCAGGCATTTGAATAGAGCAATGGACATATTATGCTGTAAAACTAATTCGTGGTAAACAAAATATCCTCTTTGCATGCAGTTTGCCACTGATGGTTGCACGACGTACAGTCACTGTTTGCTTTAGAGCAGGGGTGTCCAACCTTTTTGTTTCTCTGGGCCGCATTGGAAGAAGTCAAGGAGTTTTGGGCCATAAGTTTATATAATATATACTTGTGACCCAATATACATGTATATTTAAGGATTAATATGTCTAGATTATAATAATAAATATTAAAACTTTATTACGAAAAAGGATATTTAAAAAAATTACTTTCTACAGACACTTTCAATTTTTACTTAGAAATAGAAAAATTCATTTATTATAAGAGACAAACGAAAATTTATTTGGAAAACACAAATATTTGTTTTATTTGGGTCTCTAATAAAAAGCGACCAAACACCATTATAAAGTACATTTTTATTCAAGTAATACACTGTATTTATAAATAATATGTAGCCCAAAAAGTAGCCAAAGCGCCAAATGATATTTTTTACGTCAAACAAAAAAAGTAGCCACATTTAGCGCGATGTAGCCAAATCTTGCAACGTTGGAAGAAATACTAATCAAAGCTGGAGTTGTGATTCAAAGAATTATAGATCCAAATGAGGGGAAAGAAGAGAAAGGACAAAAGATAAAGAAGTGAGAACAGTTGGAAAATTAAGGGTCAATATTTGCATAACAGAAGATCTATTTAACCTTTCTCACTACTTTTTATCTATTGTCCTTTCTCACCTTTCCCTCCTTTTCCCAAATTTTGGTCTATAATCCTTTGAGTCACAACTCCAGCTTTATTTAATAATCCTTCCTCATTTACACATCTCCAAGTATTTGAAAATATTTCCTTTTTACTCAAAACAAAAATATGAATAAAGGTTTATGGCTTTGTGAAACTTCTTTTTTGAGTTTATGCAGTTGAAATAAATAAATAATAATAAAATTAAAACAGTTGTCGGTTTTGTTTACACGTTATTGGGCCGCATTGGAACTTGCCTTGGGCCGCATGCCATGGGTTGGACACCCCTGCTTTAGAGGATGCCAACTTAGTAGGGAGAACTGTACAGCAGTAATGGGCAACATGTGAACAGTATTACCAGATTTGGCAATATTTCAAGCAATTTAGTGATTTTGCAATGATTTTTTTCAATCTGGAGAGTTTTCTGTACTGCTAGAAATTTATTCAAGGTGTGTTTAAATTTCTTCCCAAAAAACAAGGCTGGAGTTGAGCCTAAAAATCTAGACAATTAACACTACTTGGCTTGGATCTAAAAGGTGCCCATAAATTAATTCGTGAACTTTTATTTCTTTATATTTGAATTAAATGGTTAGTGAACAAATTGAGTAGTCTCTAAACCTTTTTTTTTTTTTTTTTTTTCAAACTTACTTGGTCTATGGCTTCCATAATCTGAATGTAAATTCCATAATTCCTTTATATGAAAAATTTCTACAAAGAAGCCATATGCTTTTTAATTCCTTTTGAATTGGCATGCTTTGTCTTTTGGTTTGTAATAACAAATGCAAAGTGTATGAGTAAATAAAAAAATCTAAGTTTTGGACACAAATTAATAAGATTATATTCATTTTGTAAATAAAACATTAATGTATTTTAATCAACTTACAATTTTATGACATTTTATTCTTATAACAAAGTGTTTTAATTAATTAATTAAGTTTGTTACCTATTTGGGTACTCCTGTTTCATCGAGTTCCTAAACTCTGCAGTGATGAGGAAATGAGCTGAAATTTCAATGTGGAGTCTCATGAAATATCAGAATATCAACAAATTGCTCTTGTTGTTCAATGGTGAGTGTTGACAAGAGTTTATATTGATGGATCTTTGATTCAGTTGTATTTTTTCAGAAGAGGTTGACCAGTGCAGTTGTATTTTTTCAGAGGTTGACCAGTTCAATTCTTCACTCAATTCCAAATCATTGTCTTTGGAACATGTATACAGAGAGCAAGAAAGCAGTAATTTACATCTTTATCTTCCAACTTTTTCCACAATAGTAATTTCTTTGTGAAGGCTAAAATTTTGTGCCGCAACAAACCAAAACTGATAAAATACGAACTTTTATCAACAATGTCAAATATCAGTATTTGTTGGCAATGAAAAATATCAATTTTAATACTTTTAACAAAACAATTCACTCAGCTGTAAGGCAATTGCACTAGTATTAAAACTTCTGGGGGATTGTTAGAGTTTAACACTAGTGCAATCTCCCAATAAACCAGGAAATTGTAGTAGAGTTGACATTTATCAGTTTTGGTGAATCAATATTCTAAAATTTAACATATAGCTGTCAATATTGTAAACATGAATCAGTTTCAATTTTGGTTGATATATCGGTTATCAACACAGCTTTAATAGTGAGCTAAACTACTTTTTTCAAACCATGATGCCCTTAGTGGAAGACTGCAACACACAGTTTGAAAAATTCTGCTCTAAACCAATGAGCTTTTGTGCTTTCATTTGTAAGCAACACTTGTAGAAGTGCGTATCAGATTATATTGACAGTATTGTATCATCTCTAATTTAATAACTACAGAAATCTACAAATTCAGTTATATAATCTTAGAAAGGAAGGAAACTGAACTGAACAAAATTTGTAATCATTATTAAGAACTTTAGTGCAATAATTTATGCTTTATTTAATTATTATTTGATGCAAAATGTTATTTTTAAAACAACTTTCAGATTGCATTTGTTGACGAAAGAGGGCTTCGACACAGCAGTCCAAGAATTCGGAGTAGGACATCTTATCTGTTTTCCAGGTTTATAAAATGTTTGAAGTGAGTTTATTTTTTATTTTTTAATAGTTTGATAAAATCTCTTACCTATAAAAGACTTACCAATTAAAATCTGTGGAAATAAATTAACATCTTCGAATTACTAGCAAAATCTGTTTAATATAGACTAATGTTTTTGACCATCCTAAAATGGCCTCCTTCAGGTAAACTTAAATGGAACAATATTTAAAAAATAGAATGTATAGTGAATGACAAAATATGGATATTTGAATTACATTCTATCTCACAAGCTAATATAAAATAAAATGAAATAAACACAATACTAAAATTAAAATATTGACAAAAAACACCAACACAGATGATTATGGAATGTCACACAACATTTTCCAAGCATTGGATATGGTGTCTTCATCCTCTACTTTCATCTTTCTTTCTATGTTGAGAACACTTAAAAAGTTTTTTTAAAGAAATCTGTTTGACTGCTGAGTAATGAATGATTTGGCCAGATTATCCATAAAATTAATATAAATAATTAGTATGTTTCTTGATAATTCAACATACATTTAAAGACAGTACGAAATTTAATTTGTAAAGGGACTTATTAACATTTTATAACTCATAATAATTTTTTGAAAATACTTTAAATCTTGTTTTCTAAAGTTGTGTTACCCAAAATATGAAATTATTTTTCTTAGCACATTTAAAATTAAAAATAGAATAAGACATTTATACTTGAAAGCTTTAAACTGTGCTTACACTTAAAAAAAATAATATACACCCAATTCTGTTGTTATATGGTAGATTAGTTCCAAACCATAACCTGCAATCACATGCATATTTCCCCTCTCCACTTGCATATGGTGGGACTTTTTTGCTGATTTTTCACACAATTGCCGTTCCTCAAATTTGAAAATTCTATGATGTGGTATCTCTACATGTGCCAAATTTCAACATCACACATTGTTTAGTTTATGAGAGATTGTTTCATTTACAGAATAATGGTCTCAACTTGGCTGCCATAGGCAGTCCTTCAAAATTTGCATTAGCATGGGCTAGTATGAAACAAGTTCAGCTGGAAATAAATGACAGGAGGGATGAACTGTTCTCAAGAGGACTAGAAAATGATTTTTCCATACTTTTCAGACATAAAATAAAGCCACAAAAGCATTTAAATTGAAGATTATAATGCAGCAGGTTATCTTAAGAAAACAGACATTCAAGGTCATAGCAACACCATGTCAATGCCACAAATAGCTGACAAACATCCATGATGTCACAGAGGAAAATTCCCATGTTACAAGTGTGATCGCATGACAATAAGGAGGTTTTTAAGAGTCTGAGATAAGCATAAAAATTTTTTTGACCAAAATTTTTACACATGGATAGCATATAGCATGAGAATATCATGGAAAGACAGCTTTGGTGAAAAATGCTCATGAAAAATTAGTAATTGCAGAAAATTGAAGGTACTGCATGTGAATGTAGGTTTTAAAACCAAGTAAAATAATACAATAAACCAATTAATATAATAGGATGTGTTTTATTAACTAAAGTTGAAATGTTCTGTTTAATCAGAGAGCAGAAAGTCGTAACTTACCAGCAAAATTTAATAAATTTACGTTATTCACACAAATTTTAATTAACTTTTTCAATTAAACACCAAAAGGTATACAAAAATAATTCTGTATTGAAAGAAAGAAAAAAAAACACATTTGTGTAAATGAATTGTCAAACTTTGAATTAATTTTTTTACCAACTGCATCAATCGTAGGATAATGTCAGAACAGAAGAACGATTTGAATGTGCATAACAAGTTGTAAATAACAGCCAAATCTTAAAACTTACTTGAGCATGTGTAGCAGTCTTAAATGAAAATTCTAAGAATGTTTTTTAAAAGAAGTGTTTTTTTTTTTTTTTTTTTTTGAGAAAAGGAAGTAATATTTTTTTCTTAGAATTAAAATCAAATGCAAATTTTTAGAAAGGCAGACTGAATTATGTAAGATCAAAACAATATGTGTAAAAAGAGAATTGAATTTTTCTAGATTGTGTTATGTCAAAATCATGTGATAAAAATGCATATAAGAACAATTGGATGTAAAATTTAAAAAAATGATAATTTATGTTTCTTTATAATAGGGATTCCAAAGTTTTTTTGACTGTCAACCCCTTCAAGGATTCCCTCTTGTTTTTTGCTAATACAGTTAATAATAATAATAATAATTAAATCTGGAGAACCAACATTAATCCACAAACCATTTTCTTAGAAAAAAAATCAACATTCTGAATTTTCATAGATGTAACTCATTGAACTAGTAATTTTTAATGAAATGTTTTTCAATCAACCCCAAAAATGCTTTATTGAACCCTAGGGGTAGATATCAACTACTTTTAGTACGTCTGGTTTATAAGTTTAGAATTGTAATAGGTATAAACGATTATTTGCTCATATTGTTACGCAAATTTGATGCAGTTTAGTCATGATTATATATTTGATCATTACTATTTCTGTTATAAAATTAATTTTATAAGAGAATGTATTCAGAATGAGAAAAAAAAATGTTTAATTTTTTTTTAATGATAAGTTTTACTATTTTTGCTTGATATTTGTTGATCTTTACATGTTATGTTCTCTTTATTTTAAAGTTTAGTTTCTACATTTCTTATTACAAATTTTACAATTTTCTTGTATACAGATTCTTAAAGAAAAACTGATTTATGATTAAACTAAATGCAGATTATATTAACTGGTTTACATAGGCATGGTTATAATAAATAAATAAAAAATATACTTTAAAAATATATATATTTTTTTATTTCTGTTCAATAAAAATTACATGCAAACAAACTTAAAAATTCAAATTTTTTAATCAAATTACTTAAATTATTAAAATCATAATTACTCTTCTAATAAGAAGAGTAATTTAATTAGAAGAAAATGCTTCATAAATTTATATTTTTTAAGACAAATTTTAGAAGATGTGAGATTTCCTGGCAATATTTATAGTAAATCTTGAAGTATGCTAATTTCATATATTTTTTCTTGTATATGAGACAAGATTAATGATTATTTTTCAAAAATATTATTAAAAAAAAACATTTTTCTCTTTAGATCTCATGTTCAAACTTTACCGAAGAAATCTTAAAACAGTTACAAGAATTATTAATTCTAGCATCACCTGAAAATGGTTTGTCAACTTCGCTTCTTTCACAAGATGATCAATTGTTCCTCTACGAAACGTCAGCCATATTAATAGTTTCAAGTCAGTTTGATTTACAGGTAAGTCTATTTTATTTCATAAATTTAAGAATAATAGAGACAGAGTGTTAGCGAAGTCTCTTCTGTGAGGCTTACAAAATTGTGTTTAATCTCAAAATTTGATTTTGAGATTAAACACAAATGAATTGATTTTGATTAAACTTTGCCATTTTCCATTAATTGCAATGAGGAACCTAAAAATGAAGTAAAGGTCTATTCAAGTGTAAAAATATAGGGTTTCATGGTTTTGTTTTTGATATACAGTGGGTTAAAAGTGACAATGTTTGTGTTCGTTCCCTGATGCAACTGAGCACACTTAACAATTTAGTGGTCAAAAATAAAAACAGCATTGCATGTACCTAACGAAAAATAGGTGCAAAAAATGAACAAAGCACAAGAATAAAGCAATCATCATCGATTGTTTTATTCTTGTGCTTTGTTCTTGAATTGCCTCTCCATGTCAGCAAGTTCAATAATTCTCTCTCCGTAAAAAAACAGACAAGGATCACTTCTTTCTTTCCGGCTCCGCGTCAATTCTGCTGTGATATGACAAAGTCACATGTTCTAGTTATCTATTATAGTTAAAATATATTTTAAAAATTTTGCATTAAATGTTCTGGCAAACTCATAAAATATTTATTTGATACCTTTCTAGATATTAGTGAGTTTGCTCATTGATATTTTCCATGCAGTCATTACATTATAAAATAAGATTATATGACAGAAGCCAATCAATAATCCTTTGCTTATAATGGAGCCAGTAAGTTGTAACAAAATTGTCATCACTTTTTCAATGTGTCAAGTCAAAAGATATAGTTTTATTTTCCTGACATTGAAAGACTTGATGACCCATGAATTAATACGTGAACATATATCTGAAATTACCCTTTGGAACATTTTTTATATTAAATAATGGTTTGATTGTAAGCATTACATGTTCTTTACCAGCTCTCTGCATAGATTTATGTACAAAATAAGTATTCATTTATTTCATATCAAAGATTTCCAGGACTTGTTAGCACTCATATTTGATCCTCATAACAGTTTCATTTTATTACTTACTTTCTTTGAAGTTATAATAGTCATCTGTCAATAGCCTTGTTTTCTAAGTGTAATGTTATACTTAAAAATGTAAATTAGCTGATGGAAAATATATAAAAATCTCTAAAACATTGAAACATTCAAGGGTTGGTTATATAATCAGATATGTAGAAATTAACTTTACACTTTTTACCCTGTGTTTAAAGCCATTCAATAATCATCAAAGAATATATTCATTTCAAATTTAAAAAATAAAATATTTTGAATTTTTTAAACTAACAAAACATTTTAATGTTATGAGCTAATTATGTACATTAAAGATTAAAAAAATTTAATTAAATTAAATCTTATTGTGCAGAAAAAACAACTACTTGTGAAGAGTATTCTAAGTCCAGTAATAGGAAAATTTGAAATATTTCTTCAGAAACTTTCTGTAGAAACAGAAAAAGAAATGCAACGAGTTATTGCCGATTGTATGAGTCACGCTATTGCCGTAACAAGGTGAGGATGTACGATAACTGTGTAAAATTATGCTTAAATTTATATATTTATCCTAATCGGATCGTTTTATTACAAAGTCGGACAAGTAAAGCGTTCTCAAATCAGCAAACTATGAAATCTTGTGGTTGTGTTCAAATATACTTAGATGCTCTTCAAGTTTTCTTAAGATGTTTAGAGGTATACTATTTTATATAATAATAAAATATCAGATGCTATAAAAGTAATATGATGATACTAAAGTGACTGTTCTTGATTTAATTTATAGCTTCCATACGAGCAAGCCATATTGCAATCTGCAGTTCGTCAGTATTTACACAGAATGGTTGTTTGTTTGGAAGAAGAAATCTTACCATTTATCCCCGGTGCAGCTGAAAAATTACTAAGAAGTACGGATATTCGGAGCATTCAAGAGTTCATTCCATTAATTAATCAAATTATTAGCAAATTTAAGGTAAGAATTGTTTGCTTTACTAATCTGTCAATTAGATCTCAAAATAATAAAATATAAGTCACAAGTTATAGATGTGTCAATATCTTGTTTAACTATATAGTTACAGCGAGTTTGAGAATTAATTAGAATTAGAAATAATTATAATTTGAAGCACAAAAATATGTAAATTATAATCATTAACAGTTTCTTTCATAAATATGATTTCTAATTTTACTTGGACTTAGCCAAGAGAAACCAAATTGAAATATTATCAGAAATTACTAAAAATTCAAAAATTCATTCTTTTTCTTTTAAGCATGCTAAACATTGATATTTGATAGCATTAATCGTTAATTTTAAAGACTTACATTTTAATCAATTTCTGTATGTCATTTATGTGAACACACCCTGGATTTAAGGTGCAGTTATCGTGGGTTTTTCAGAAAGAAATAGTGCCGTACCTACTTCGGATCTTTATGCCCTTGGTGTCTGCCATATTTGCAGTTCTTGCCGTCCCGATAGACGAAAACGACCAGCAGGCGCAGAGAGAGAGGCAGCTGTTGCAACGAAGTTATTTTCTTTTTATTGCAGCTGTCGTGACAAATAACGTCACAGAAGTAATTGCATCTCAAGGTAAAATTTAATTTTTAATACATATTATATTCAGGAATTAAAATCCTGTTTACATTTTTTCAATAAATAAAGATTTTAAAATATAATTCATCCAGGATTTTTAATATAAAAAAGAAAACAAGCAATATAGATTGTCTCGAATAATGGAATCAAGTAAAAACTCAAGATTACATTTGAATATTGATGATATATTAGAGAACAATTGTATTATTATGCGTAAATGTTTTACAGGTCTTTTTTATTTTAAGATATGACAATCATCTGTATGTAATTTGAAAAAATATTGACAAAATAGTAAAGAAGATACCTCAAGCCTGATTCTTACTTCATTGCCATCAAAAATTTTTTATTTAATTTTTATAATGTGTTACAACCTTTTTCAGACAGAGACATTAACTGATGTGCTTTGCAATACATGCAACCCACTTGCAGTTATGCTGAAATGCATTGGTTAAAAAATTAATGTCTGAGGAGGGCCTAAAAGTTTGTGTAAAAAAAAAGGCTGAAACATGTTAAGAAAGTTAGATTCCTGATGATGTCAAAAATTCTTTATCATTTTTTTTTCAAATTTCTGAAGAATTGAAAAATATTTATGGATTTTTTTATTGAAAAGACTTTGCTCTATTAAGCATAATAATAATAATAATAATAATAGTTTTTTGGAGATAATTATTTTAATGATTATTATTAACTATCATTGATCTTGTATCAGGAGAAATTAGCTTATCACTAAATTGTTTAACATACTATCACCATTGCTATGAAAAGTTACATCAAATGTGCCACTTTGTTTTTCATAATGTAACCAATTAAGAATTAAAAAACAATTTTTTTCACGTAAGCAATATTTATGGAATTATACATGATGTGAAAGTGACCATCGGTACCTACTCTAGAGCAAAATGATGAAAATCCATTAAAATTAGTCCTGGTAAAGTATGAAACAAAGCCATAAAATATAATCTTTACAATATTTCTTACACTTCTGACGATATTACAATTTATCAAATATCTTGTTAATATTAAAAAATTCTTTAACATTCATTGTAAACAATTTATTACGATATAAATTAAGTTTTTTTATTTCAGATATGCAAAATTTAGAACAAGTCCTGTTAACAATAATTCAAGGTGCTGTTGATTTTCCTGATCCGGTCGTAAGTGCTTTATTATTTTGTTCACAGTTCTATAAATGCTAAATTGTCCCTGCCGGTAAATATTTCCAACAGCTTCCATCTCTCACATTGAATTTGATTAAAAATTATTGATTGAAATCAGTTTTGAATTACATTCTTCCACAGACCTAAAGAAAAAGCTAAGAAATGAAAATTTAATTGCTTATAAAAGTAGTATTAATGTATTTTCTGATATTACTAAATTTTAAAGAGTGCTATTTACAACAAAACTTGGTAGAAACTAAATGTTTGACAAAAGTCAAGTTTTGTGATACTTCTAAGTCCAGAATAAATTTTTATTCTCTTTATCTCTCTTTAATATTATTCAGTATTTGGCTAGAAATACCAAATAATACTAAATATTTGGTCAGGTGCCAGCACATACTGTGTTTCTTGAATTACAGACACTCCTAAAATTGCCGTGTCCTTCATTTAGAAATGCATCTAATTGGACAGTAGAAAAAATAAAAGCACAAGGTTATCTTTTGTATGCTTCCAGTTCTTCCACTCAAACTTAACTTTAAAATTAATTTTGCTGGAAGATATGTAATGCTCGAAACTAATTATTGACCAAACTAATTCAAAAATTCTTCAAAGTTGGTAGCAAAATTTATTCTGCAAACGGTTCCGAACACTGAGAAATTTTGACCGTTAAACCCCGGCAGGGATCGAAATTATTAAATGCAAATGCATTGATATCATAATTATTTTTAATTAGTTGCTCTTATAAATTTTTAACAAAAGCATCTTAAAAAGAAATAAAAGTGTTCACTTATAATTCAAGAAAATTTGTTTGTTTATTATTTACTTAAATTTAATTTTGATTTTTGCAGGCCCAAAAAACTTGTTTTAGTATACTTAAGAAGATGGTGGAGTTATGGGGTAAGAATTATTTTTATGAAAAAACAAGTAATGTAATGATGTAGAATATTACATCAAATTATGTATAATTTATGACGATAAATTTGTGTGTGTGCGCGTGTGTACACAGATGTATTTTTGAATGTTTTTTTTTTTTTTTTGTTTGTTTGCAGCAGTGCGTAATAGTTTTCCAAACACTATAAACTTGCTATATTTCTAAAATTTTTACCATATTTTTAAAAAAATGAAGTATCCTATAGTTTGGATATTTCCTAATCTTTTACAACTTTTAAGAAAAATTTCTCCCCTTCAGTATTATACAACAGCCATCTTCATAAACTTATTCAGAACAAAATTGCAAATATAAAATTTTTATATTTGCAAAGTTTTACCAAACCAGCTATAGACAGACCATTAAGACCATAAACCCAACTTCTGTCAAGTTTGAAATATACCCACAGTGCTAGATGCCAAACTGTACATTTTAGGGTTTCACAATATGGTAGCCACATTACTAAATCCTAAAATGGATATCCCTGACTGATTTTACATCCAGATTCAAACGCAAAACCCTAGGAAAACTTTCTAATTTTGAGAGTTATTTTAATAAGCTGTGGCAAATGTTTAGAAGCCTTGGCAAAGAATACAATTTACAGAAAGCAAAGGTCATTCGTATATATTTGTCACTATTTTCAATTACTTGATTACAGGCTTTGAGTTAGTCCAGTTATTTTTTGACTACTGTAGAAGTGAAGAGCACTACAAAATAGTCACACAATTCAAACTCTGAAAGTACCTGAAAAGGCTGCACCCATATATTTAAATAATTAAATTTTTAAAGAAACAGATAATGTAAAACAAGGAGAGAAATCAAAAATTCTGCATTTAGCTTATATATCACAAGGGAAACTACTATTAGTGTTTCCTTAGTTGCAATTTTTGTACATTCCTGAGAGTTAATGCAATTGTATTAAGGGCAGTCAAATGAAAATGAGACAGACAATATAACAAGTGTGGCATGGGAAGTTGGTAATGCAGGTAGGTGTGTATATAGAAGTGCCCTCTATTGGGAATCAGGAAGGAACAGCGTGAACGTTCACCGCTGTGCCATTTGTCTGTTAGACGCGCTCAAAGTGAGGCCGGCGAGTCATGTGTGCATTCAGCATCACTATGGAGGTCCGCTGCTTGTTGACTTTCTGGAACACAGCACCACAATTAATGCACAGCGATACATAGAAACTTTGCAAAAATTGAAGCATGCCATTAAATCCAAATACCCAGAAATGTTGACAGACAGCATCATTCTGTTGCAGGATAATGCCCAGCCACATGTTACCAAGGTTGTTTTGACTATGCTGCAGAAGTTTCGCTGGGAACTTCTGCAGCATAGTCCATACACATCCTCCATGCGATTTCCATATTTTTGGAGCCCCGAAGAAAGACATTCGTGGCCGTCAATTTGCTTTGGATGAAAAGGTGCACACCTGGGTACAATCATAGTTCCATAGGCAACTGCAAACATTTTTCTATGAAGGCATTGACCGTCTTGTCTCACAGTGGGATAAAGGTAATAACCATTATGACAATTACTTTTGAAATAATAAGCAGTTTACTTACTTTTTTCCCATCTGTCTTGTTTTCATTTGACTGCCCCTAATAATTTTACATCTATGCAATGATCGAACAAAAAGGGATATCATGAGAAATAGATTGCTATTGTTAGTCTGACTTGTCACTCTAACAATATTGGGTAAAGTGTTGCAATAAATAGAAATACCTTGCATTAAAGAATGGAATTTTCATAGTAGACAGTTATATAAGGTAGAAAATTTACCAAGAATCAATGCAACAGTTTATGCAAAAGCATATCAAAAATCCTGTTTGAGACTTCTTTTGTTGTGCACAAAGTTTTTCTTTGGATAGATATGGATGCACTCTGAAGTAAATCCTGCAAAATCTTCAATTAGTGTATTCTTCTGAGATAAATGCCTTAAATTACAGCCAATCAAGGTCTCTGTGAAAATAAATAAATTTCAACTGTTACTTAATCACTCAAACTCGTAGTAAATAAATATTTACGATGCAAAGCATGGCCGACTTGTTGCAAGTTACATTTTTGTTTGATTGCCCAGTATATTCTCAATTTATATATCTTAACCAATTTATTAAATCAAATTTAATTTTAGATAATTATTTTTCAGGTGGTTCGGACGGTATCCCCGGTTTTGTTGATTTCATCTATAAATCAATTGTCCCTGCCTGTTTTGTAGCTCCTTTGAAAGATACTTTTGATCTGACGGATGCTCAGACAATTCTGGTATGCTCTTTTTACATATATTTAGAGGAATAATGCTTTTATTTCTTTCTCTTTAAATAAATTTTGTCATTGCGGTAATAGGCTTTGTCAGAAAGTGCTACGTGTCTAAAAACCATTCTAGATAAACGAGTAAGTATTTGACAAAGAACCGTCGAATATGAAATTACTAATTCGCATTTTGACAATATACAAAAATATATTTTTCATAGGGGGACGAATTTGTAAATTATCTGCAAAGTCAATATCTTCCGACTCTCAGAGTCTCGCCACAACAGATTCATGAATATTGTCAGGCTTTAAAATCAGATACAAAAGTTTTTAAAAATTATTTAAAGGTAATTAATTTAAACAATTCTAAAGCTTATAAAATTTTCAAATTAATTTTAACATTTTTTCGTTTTATTTCAGCTTTTTTTCCAACAAGCAAAATCATAGCAAATTGTAAATATATAAATAAACAATATATATATTATGAAATTGTACAGGTTTTATCTGTAAGATGACTTGCCTGAATCGAGCAAACGTTAATGTGAACCACTGTCGACATTCCTCTGCGGGAAACAAAATGTGGTATTTTGTAAATACAGAAATTGATTTTCTTCGAGCCCAAATCGCAAGTCTATGAAAATCAGGCAACCAAAGAAAGTTTAAGGTTGGCCGGAGAGCTTCCGATCCGGCGTGCCGCACTTCCAGAAGAGTTTGTTGGAAACACGCTTCTCGCAACTATAGTGTGTTCCAATAAAATTGTCTGACAAAAAATATAATGTGCAAATAACTAAATAAATTGTGCAAAATGCCTTGATAACATACAAGTTGTTGCTGTGTATAAAAATTCTGTTGAAATTTTTTTCCAGGAAATAAATTTTGAAATGAATATTTATATATTTGTTCTCTTAATTCATTAACCCTTACCTGTGTGCTGACTGATTTTAGTAATTTTACTATATTTTCTGATGGGGGAAAAAATGAAAACCAATTCCGATTTGTTGGACATTTATCTATATTACTCTAAAATATTGTGCTGTAATTTTATTTGGGCATGTTTTACAAATAGATAAAGCAAAAAAAAACACCAATATTTTTTATATGTCTTATTAACTAAAAAAAACATCATTACGAAAAATAGATTAAGCAATGTATTAAGTACTATATGAAACAGGGTCACACTCAGTACACTGATAAGAAGTATCTTTTCTGACTCAAGTACTTTTGCTTATTGCTGCAAACAGTGCATCATCTTTGGGCTTTTTTTCTGTCCTCCTGCCTTCATTTCACTCTCTCAGGGAAGTGTTTCTTTGACAGCCTTGCAATATTTTATTCCCAGTAGCATTATCATTGATATTGTCTCCTGCAGATAGCACCAAAGCTGAACATATATTTTAAATAAATCTAATAGTTGTTAACTTTTAGTGATAATTGTATTATGCAAAATGCATGCATTTGTCACACATTATTATCAAATGAAAGGCTAATTTTTTCTACAATTTTACAGTTTTATGTGAAAAAGTATTATAGGACACCCTCTGGTCAATCAGATCTACTCCAGCTTTGTGTTTGTTATAGTCTATAACAGTAATTGGTTTTTCTTTTAGAGTATCCTGCCTTTTTGTTGGAACTTGTTGCATGTCTGCAGTGTGTTTTGTACTTATCATATATATATATATGATAATATATATACATCTCTCGTCTTTCCATCATAGGGCTACCCTGTTATTTTTGTAGTGGAATATTTGCTCTCCCTTGGTTAGTTTTGCCTCTTTCAGCACTTTTGGCAGACCTTTCCTCATCTTCATTACTGTCCCTACCAATCTAGTATTTACTTTTCAAATATTCAGCGAGTGAAACACTGGTGTAGAACCAATCAATGTACACATTATGGCCTTTATTTGACAATGGATCTACCAGTCTTTTTACCACAGAAACAGCTGTATTATCAACATTTTGGTCTTTACCATGGTCACCATGATAAAGACCAAAATGTTGATAATATAGCTGCTTACACTATGGTACAATTCAAAATTCCAGATATAACCAGTTCTGGCTGCTGCCAATATATACAACTTCATACCGTACTTATTTGGTTTATTTGCCATATAAACTTTGAAACTTACACAACCCCTAAATCACATGCCCTTATCAATTGTTAGAGCCTCAGGATAATAGGTTTCTTGAAATTTCTTTATCATAATATTCATTAGAGGCCTCACTTTGTGTAAAGCATCAAACCTTCTCCTTTCTTTTTTTGCTTAGTATTGTCACTCAGGTGAAACATTGAAAAAAATATTCAAAAATCTATCTCTTGACATAATATTGGGATAGAAATTGCAACTCGTTACAGGGTCTTCACTCCAATTGCTTTCCAAATTAGGCCTTTCGTTGATGCACATATGTAGTATTACTGCAAGGAATTTTTTTGTTTCTGCCAAGGTCAAAGTTTTCCACAATTTGAATCTGGAATTGGGACTTAATGCATTTTTAGACCTAAAAGCTGAAATTTGTTGCCTTGCATACAAATCTGCTTGCTCTTTCATGTATGAAATGAGCTCTTGATTAATAAAATGAGTAAAAAAAGTAAAGGATTGCTAGTTTGATCAATGCCAACATTCTGCTGAAGATCATGATCAGTATAAATAGTAATATTTGGTACCTGGTCCACCTCTTTCCATTCAATATCACCAGTAGACTCACCCTAGTTCTCATCCTAGCTCTTTTTCGTGGATGCGATGGTATAACAGATGTAGACGGGATGGTATTCACACTGTCAGAAATATACGAATCTGACTCTTTGCTCTAATATACAAATATAATATTACATATTTTATAAACTTTGTTACTTTTCTGTAGCTATATAATTAAAATTATATGGCTTACCTGTACTGTCTTCATTACTGGATGGGCCTAAAACGTATTCGCTATCACTCTCATTGAATAAATCACTATCATTGTCACTACATTTATCTCACTCTTCGTTAATGGGGAGGATTTGTTTCAATTTATTGTATGAGCCATATTTAATACTTTATTTAAATATTCAAAAGAAGCTTGTAGGCTAAACTCCAAATTGAACAATGCAATTGACCTTGACAAAGAACTTGTTCAAATTTCTGAGACGATAATGCCTCTAATGGTTAACAGACAAACTAAACAATGCACAGAATTCGTTTATGTTTTGCTGTGAACATAATCTTATGTTTTAAAACTAGAAATAAAGTGATATACTGAACGTAATTTTTACAATAGAATTCGTAAAACGTAACATTACATTTCTAGCAAGATAAATGTTAAATTAGCATAATGTGCAATTCTAATTGTATTAACTAGAGAGACTGATAAAAAACATGCAATTAAAGTCAACACGCAACATTTATAGTCTCGTTCACAATTAAGGATTGAGAGTTTGGTCATTATTAACTTCTTTACTGTTTCACTTAATCAAAAGGTAAACTGTTGGCCTGATTACGAATACACACATTAGATATGAAATTTTTGCTGATCATTCAAAAGTACACTGTCTTACCATTATCTAACTATCTGGTCACATGTATTAGCAAATGAAATGTTGTCTTCCGAAATCTTTGATCTCTATGATGCTTACAATTCTCCTCTTAAGTTCTGGAAAATACTTCTAACGTTTTGCCATTTTATTTCATTTTTAGGGCAATCTCTCCACATTTATACCTAACAATCCTGTTTGTCCCAGAGATTTCTTGCAGGATTTGGGTTGGGATTCTATTCTCACTGGTCTAAACTTTCAAAGCCCACATCCTCAAATTGATCCTTAACATGGTGTCTGCGAAAGTTCTCCCGGTGATAGTGACTCAAGTGGAAAATTTTATGCTTTGGTCTACCATAACCCAGACTATGAAAATTTATTTTTTTAGGCGATTTAAACAAGTAAAAGCATATACTTTGTATGTACTTTTATTTCTGTCTCAGATGTTCTTATATTTATTACTTTCAGTTCTGTTACTACAGCTTAAAGAATTCAGATGTTAAATTAACAAGTTTCGTTAGTTTGAGGAAAAAATATAACTAAGCAAATATTATTTAACCATTATTAAATGTATAACTGAATCCTGATGATTTTGCTAATGTTTACCTAGCAAAATCAAAAATCTGATTTTGTACCTTGAAATTGTACATAGCCTACTATAAAGCAACTTTAAATCATTCAAACTTGGCATGAGAAATCACAGCATAGCATTTCATTTTTTGCTAAATAAAGCAAACCTAAGCAGTGTTCTGCATCTTTGTTGCCGTCGGCTAGCTCGCCTATGAATGATCCGATATCATCAATGCACATTGTTGTTTCTACTTCAACTCTATTACTTGCAGTGGACAGATATGAAGACTCGCTGTAATCTTTCCCATCACAATCTCAGCACCCATATCATTTCTGATGATATCACATCATCAGAAATGATATGGGTGCTGAGATTGTGATGGGAAAGATGTCTTTGAACTCATGACAATTGCTCCTCCAAAAAGTGGAATGTTTGCCAAGAGTGGAATTGCACAGAACTATTTGACAAGTAAAAGTGTTGTACATAATAAATAATTGATTAACTCCTTATTTTAGAGATTGTTTAGACAGATGGAAGTTTTGACAAATCTCTGAATAAGCATTGTCAAATGGACATAGCAGTGCACTTTTGGGATGTCGACCAGCAGTTTCTTGTTACTCGAATGGCATTTCCTTGGGACAATTAATTTCCGATTGCCCATTGGAAGAATTCGCAGAAGTTCTGTCACTTTTTAGAAAAAATTTAAAATTCACATTAGGATCATCCGTTGAAACTTGTATTTTCTAAAAAATAGTTGGAAACAGATTGAAAACGATAATCTAGATGGTAAATAAGTCACTGTCAATATTAGCCTGTAGCTTACATAGTTCAAGGAGCCAAGAAGTTGGACCACCTGATGGTCATTTTAAGAACAATAGATAGCTTGGCATGCTGGACTATCTTCAAAAAGATTAAGTATGCAGAAATTGCTAAAAGTTTCTATCTGAAGTGGATTGAAAATGCACTTGATAATGCAGTTTACATGGTCAACAGAGAAGGATCCTGCATCGAGCGCACACTGTAAATGTGTATAATTAATTTTATCCTTCTAATAAAAATTTGTTCACGTCTTATAATTGTCATCTTTGTTGTGCCACATTTTCCTCTGGTGGTGAAAATTTCAACTAATTTTTCCCCTCCATAAATCTCTTCCTCATAATCTGGATTACACATCTAGTCTCATCCAATCTGGTTTGGTAGAACCAGCTCCATGCAGTCCGAGTACCATCAGTTTAATTCTAACTACTCCGTATCTATACTAATATTATAAAGAGGTAAAGTTTGTAAGTTTGGATGTAGGAGGTAATCTCCAAAACTAATCATCCGATTTCAAAAATTTTTCACCAATATTTAGAATGGACCTTCAGGGTGGACATAGGCTGTACATTATTCTGTTAAACATTCATATTAATTAAAAGATATCATCTAGGTAAGCATTATATTTTTGGTGTCAGCAGGTGGCGAGGGGCAAGACAAGTACGTATACGAGATAGGTAGCCATGCGGTGCAGTCACGTAGTTGGCAAGATACACAGTGCACGTGTTTAAACTTGTAGTATATAAAGTTGACATATAATGCATGCACATAAGTTATTTTATGTTCAAATTTATATTTATGAATGATTCAAGAAGATCCAACTTATTTTTCAAATTTAGTAAACTAGAAGAAGAACCCAGAAGGGGTTACGAAAACATTTGTTATTTATCACTTAGTGGTACTACGCACTGGTTAGTGATTGCTGTGAATCTTAATTATCGTTATCCCAGTGTGGTAAGCAGATATCTAAAAATTTTCTAATTAGTCTCGGAAGAGGGGAAACCTAATTCTTGCACTCGGTGAAAACGGGTAAGATTGGCTATAATCTAATGATCTTAATCTTTGCTTTCGTTTTTGTTTGAGCAATGCCAAGCTCATTTACTAGTTATTATTATGTTGGGTTTAGTGAGTTATACTCGGTTGACATCGGTGGCTGGTACTATGCCACACCAGAGTCAAGGCACAGCAACCAAAACAAAACTAAAAATAAATAAGTGTGTCTGTATTCAGGAATTTCCTAACAATATGGCATGTATTCAATATAGTGACCTTTTGTAGTGTGATGTATGTATTTCTATTTAATTGTAATGTTTCCAGGCTTTTGTGTAGTGTATGTCTGTAGAGGAGAGCACAACAGGAATAATAAGCACCCAGAAGTGATGTGTTGTTGTTGTTATTATTATTATTACGGTAAAAAATTATGTAATATAATATCAATATACAGTAATACCTCTGTTTTCATCAATAATCTGTCTGAAAACAATTGGCAAAATCCAAGGCAATTATTTCTATATGAATCAATGTAAATCCAATTAATTTGTTCTAGACACTCCAAAATGCATACCAAAAACACATTTTATAGAGATTAAAATAGTGTTTAATACTACAAACAATAAGAAATGAATATAAAAGACTAATGTAAAGAATAAATGAACATTTAACATGGCATTTACCTTTCTGAAGACTCTTGGCATATGGAAGATGGCAAGGAGGGGGAGAGGGGTGCAGATATTATTGTTTGGAAGGGGGATCCCCCTCCATAAGGACCTTAGGTATCAAGGCACTATTTGGGGTCACTTCCCTTCTTGGTCTTTTGGCACTAGGACCAGCTTCAGAGTCAGTGGACCCATGTCACACAAGAAAGCTATCCAAAAAGGTCAGTTTCTGCCGCCTCTTTAAAATTTGCCTAAAATGGGGCAAGACTATCATTAAACAAGTTGCAGACACTGCCTGCAACAGCTTTGCCTGGATGATTTTTCTCCAAAACCCCCTGTACTTAATCTATAAGAAAGCACATTCTCCTGTCTCTTCCTCTGAAGCAACTTCTATAAACTATTACATAACAAGAATGATCCAATGAACAAAGAGAAAGAATGCCTGGTATACATAAGATTCCTTTAAGCAATGAAAGGTTCCAGACAATGTAAACCAGGTCCTGGTTTACATTGGATCTACAAAAAGTCACTGAAAAAACAGATGGCAGATCATAGATATGACATAGTTCATAAGAGATCCACAGTCCTATCTATGTATGCGTTGGATGACGACATTATTGCAAAATTAAATTGGGCCTCCGATAAGATTTGCTCTCTCTACTGAATAACTCAGAGAATTGGAAGCCCTTGAGATCTTTAAAGTGGCCGACTTAGAGGCTGTATTAATTGTAATGAAGAGAAATTTACTTCTCATTCTTGGCAAGTGTATTTCAATAAGCATTTATGATTTAATTGTGTCAAGCTTATACACGCCTCTGAGGTTTCAAATTTTGAAATACATCAGTTCTTCAGACATTTCCGTTTTTTGAATATTACCTCTCAAAAGAAGATTGAAAACATTTGTTTTGCAGAGAAATAAAAGCTGCTGAATTAGATAAAAGTATTGTGGTTATTTATTTGAAATTGAAAATAGTTTAGAGTAGGTGATTAGGATTATACTGCTTACTTTAAAAAAATTGGCTCCAATCAAGCAAAGTCTAGCTCTATACAGACTATATTATAGTCAAATTAGATAAACTATATTTACTCAAATATAAGACACCTTAATTTCTTCACGCTCATTCTTGATTTTTTCTTGAAAAACTAGACAAATCAAGATAGATTTATGTCAATATAATTGGTTCTGTTGACAAACTCATTCAATATTTATTTAAGGTAAAGTTATATATCACTATCTTCCATGATATCAAAGTCAAACATTGCTTTCTGTTAGGCTCTTGTGAATTGTCACCAGATTCGATCTTTCTTGCATCTTTCCATGCGCAATCATCTTAGGATTCATTTGAACCGTCAGAAATGCCATGTTTCTTGAAAGAGTGCTGAGAACTTTTTCCCTGAATTTTACCCAACAGTTATGATAGGGCTAAACTGACCTCTTAAATGTTTAATGATTTTATTAGATTAGTATTCATGACAGTGAAGTGACAGAGGAATATGACGAACAACACTAGAAGTCACTAATTATGATGTATTAAATCTAAGATGCACCCTAGTTTCAGATACTAAAACCTGAAAAAAGTGCAAGTTTGAGTAAATAATGTAATTTGTTTAGTATTTTAAAGATTCTTGATGAATACAATTGGTACATACTTAACATAAAGTAAATCAGAAATTCAAATTAATTATACTTAATTTTGTAATTAATATGTATTGTACATTACATATCTTAATATTAATTAATATATTGTATTTAGGAATTAATTTTAATTCACACACAATAAAATTTAAGAATATCATTCGAAATTATTCGTACCAAAATAGTATCCATGATAAATTTTGGAAGATTAACTTTAATAAATGAAAATACAGAAATTATTATTCTGACATGTATCGTACAAAAATCCATTGAAACTTTTTCGACATTTTTATTTGTAAATATTGCAATCAAATTTACTTTTACAGTAATAAATATAAAATTGGAATTTATAATTTTACTGAAATATAACACACGGAATAGTATACATTATATTTCTATCAATTATATAAACTTTTTTTTACACAAAAACTGACATTGAAATGCCTTAGGAGGCTTAAAACATGTTCATTTATATGTTAAATAAGAACATCGGTACACCTAGGATTCATTTTTTACATACATTCAGCTTGAATAATTTTCAATTATTCTGAGATACAAACCAACAGTTAAAAACATTCCAGTGATTTTCACACTACACTTTTCTCTTGGAGCCAGAAACAGTTTCAGCATAACTTCATGTACTTTTTTTAGTTCGTATATATTTTTTTATACATATATATTTTCTTCATAAAAGCAAATTTTATATTTAGTAACATAAATTAATTTTTATGATATACAATAAAAAACGCATTTATAAAATTGGAAATCACATCACGAGAATAAAGAATTTAATCCTTCTACTACCAATAGTCAACATTACCACGTACGTCAATTTCTTCCAAGTAAAACTAAAAATTATAATTAAACTACAGATAATATTCAAATGTATCAGGTAGCAGTTAAACCATCCCACTGATCTGGCACTGGTCCTTCTCTGAAGAAAAGAAAATAATGTTTTATTAAACTAAGATAATTATGATAATAATGAAGAGAAATCATTATTCACCAGCATGTTAAATCCAAAGAAACATCTATTTAATAAAATTTCAAGAAAATTATATATCATAGCTTTAGAGATTATTGAGATATAAATATCACAATAATCTCTAAACCAATTTTATTAAACTGTATAAGTAAATCTGTAATGATTATGAATAGCTGTTCTAAAGAATATATAAAAAATATGATGATTTGTTTTTCTTCAAACACACACACACAAGCAAAAAAATCCATAATGCAGAATCATTTAAAACACTCATAATTAGACGACTTCAGAAATTTTTAATTTCATGTAACAAGAACATTATTATTACATAGAATGGACCTTTATTAGGCTTTTCCTACCTAGGCTTACCAGATAAAAAGTTGTGAATAGAAGATAAATTGTTCTGAAAAGAAGGGGGACAATCAATTCAGCAACAGCCAAATTTGCCAACAAAAACTATAATTAAAACATTTATGTGAAAGTTATTTCATAAACATAATTTTCTTGAAATTTTAAGATAATGTCACACACATTTTATTTAAAATCTTATTACATTTTATAATAATAATTAATATAGTAACTAATGTTTGTTATTTTGGATGATTTCTTAATATTTTAAAAAATCAAAAAAGATTTCAAATCTTTCTCTAAATTACCCTTCCATATTTTTAATATCTGAAATTAAAAGAAATTATGCATATAAAACAAAAACTTTTATTAATTGTACCTTCTCTATTTGAATTTACTTATGAAACTTACAATTTTGAGAAATTAAAAGTCTATACAAATTGTGTCACATCTCAGCAGGGCAGTATTTGGTTGGGACTCTGACAAAGCCACTTTATGTTACAAAAAAAGGGAGTCTTAAACTTTAAAAACGTTCAAAGATTTTGCGAACAATCTATTCCCTTCACTAACAGTCAAGTCCTCATAAGTCGTCATAGGTATAACTAGACACCATTGGTTAAGTAGTTGGTTTTTTGTGGTCCCGGCTGACTTAAATAGGCATTAACATTAAAAAACTCTAGTTTACTTGACATTGTTTAACTCGTCACCACTGGATAAATCAACACACTTTTTCTGTCTAGATGTCTGGTAAGTCAACTCCCCTCCTGAAAAAAATGAGTTCACACCATACAGCTTAATGTCACAGCAGAATCCAATTTTGCATTTTCTCACCTTTCATTTGTGTGTTATTTGCAGCAAATGTTTCACATTTCTGTTAGAAATGAGTATCCGAAAGCTAACAACACTTACACTGAAGGAAAAATACGAACTTGTTTCTGAATTTGAATGTAAGAAAACTTTGCAAGCCAAATTTGCAAAACAAAAAACCTTCCAATAACAACATTGGTGGAAATCCTGAAGAAAAAAGAAGAAACTAAGAAACTTTTTCTTGGGTCTTCATCGCGGCTGTCTCGAAAACGCCAGAGAAAGTTGCCATACAAAGATGTTGAAGATGCTTTGGCATGTTCGCTAAAGCAAATTCGTTCATCGAATCTTCCTGTTTCAGGACAAATACTGAAGCAAAAGGCAATGGAAATCACTGGGGTACTTGGAGTAGAAACCAACTTTAGTTCCAGTGATGAATGGTCAGAGGGGTACATTGCATTACTGTATTTTCCTAATTGTAGTTTTGTTGTTTTTTCAACTTCACTTTAGTCATCATATCAGATAACTCTACACATTTCCACTACCCGTTCAGGTTCGATTTTGCAGACTCGACAGTAGATTAAAAATGTACAGTAGCCAGGACCACAGTATGGCCAAGATATGTATAGTTTCATACATATCAGTAATTTTTACTGGTATGAAAACTCAAGATATTCATCTAATTACGGTATTTTAAAAATACTTTTAATATCTATGCTAGTTGTGTTTTTGTTTTTCATTATCAAAACTACACAAAAGATTACAGGCAATCAAAGACTGGCATTAATCAAAAGTGTGAAAACAAAGAAATGTATCTTATTAAAGCAGAAATTTTTTCTTTTGTTTTATATAAATATTTTCAGATACTTATTTTTCTCCATCTTCAAAAAAAAAAAAAAACTTGATGTATGTTTTTACTTTGTGCATTAGCATGAAATAATTTAAATACAATATGCCTGAGTTTTAATGAGAGTATGTGGTTATGCCACATTTTATTAAATTATCGTCCTAGTCTTCAGTGGTAATTTATTTTTATATTAGTGTCTACACTATGATCATGTCAATGATTTTGCATTAACATAAAACTTGCTGCAATGATGACATGTTACCATTCATTTGTTTGTAATTTAAATCATTGTCAATGTGCAAATTGATGTTCAGACTTTCAAACTGAAAAGTAGCAATCATCTAAAAATGGAGAAAAATAAAATCTCAGAGCATTTTTCCTGTTAAAAAAAAATAGAAATTTGCTTTAAAAGATTAGAATTTTTATTTTATTTAAGAACTTGAACAACAACATTATTTTACACCAAATGTGCTAATCACAGCATATTATCTGATACAATCAACCCAATAATTACTTCAAATATCAAATAAACAGAAAGATAAATTTATTGGGCTATTAAGGACAAATAATAATCATCATAAACTTAATTTGGCTAGAGTTAAAGCAAAACATTTTTACTTATTTTACTTGTGCAAATTACACATACACCATGCAAAACATTATGACCATATGCTAAAATTCTGTTGCTTCACTATATGCTGCTAAAACAGCCTGAACTTCCATCTCAATTATAAGGGCATTAATTCCATCTCATATGCAAGAAGAATGTGTTAGGAACTCCAATGAAATCTGAAGAATATGCACTCCTATACTGGAACTAAGTTTTATGTTTTATGCAACTGTATCATGTATAAAAACGTTTTAATCAGCAAATAGTGTGGTGTGTTTGTGTGTATGTGAGTATCTTATGTAAAGTATGTCTAGACAACATATAAAACTGTAACCAATTGCATTGTAATATCAGAATTTTAAACATAATTCTAATAAGTTGTTTATTTTTTATTCTTTTCAATTTTTTTCCAATGGTGGTTATTTAAGACAATCAAAAACGTTTGTGTTTTAAATTAAATTACACTGCTGGAACCTCAATTGCAATGTCTTCTTGAATTAATAGAATTAATGAAAAACACATCTGTGATTTTATTTCTCTCATTGACAACCCAAAGTTTAATTGTAATTGTTTATATTACAAACAAGAATAGTGTTACCTCTCAAATATAGCCTTTAAAATCATTCCACTCTCTCTATATCTATCTTCATTAGCAATTGCAGCTTGTTTCCATCTAAAATAAAATAAAAAATCTTAAAATCAATGTTTTTCAAAATACATCTTCCAAAAGAAGATATAAATTTTTTAAACTAAATTGGTATGCGATATGCGACAACAACTGGAAAATTAAATGAAATGATGATATTTGAGTCCTGTATGCTGATACTTGATAAATAAGTTTAAAAGATGATTTACAAATGTTTTTATTTAAAACTTATATGAAAAAAAATAAACTTCTAAAAAACAAAAAACCTACATTCTTTCTTTTTACTAGATTTCAAATAGTTTTAAAAACTAAGTTATTAAGTAAAAATAAATAGCAAAAGAAAAAAAAACTGGGTAATGACTGGTTTAATTATTTTTTTATTTGTCATTATATTATGGTTAGTTTGTTTATAAGCAAATTATACAGAGCATAAAAAAACTTATTATTTAAATCGCAAAGTCATTTATTTATTTACAAAGCCCATTATTTACTGCAAATTTATGGAAATGTTTTGAACAATGTTGCAAATAGTAATAAAATTTTAATCAATTTTCATAAATACAGTACAATTCACAAAATATATCTTAACATAATATCAACAATGATCGATAAGAAACTAATCCAGAATTGAATTTACAGTTTTGATACGTGCTAAAGAATTTTAACAAAAATTATGTAAGGAAGAAAAATTTCAAAATTACAAGGATTTTTCAGATATTCTGAATAAATACAATAAATATCAGATTCAATCTTCATTAAAAGATCAGTAAAACTGTATGAACAAAATACTTCCTAGCAATTTTTAGAAGTACAAACTTTATTTGGATTAAACATTTTTTGAGACTTTAACATCCCATTACAAAAATGGGAATGGGACATTAGTCTTGAAAAACATTTAATTCTAATAAAAATTCCCAAAAATTGTTTAGTCACATTTTCTTCATACTGTTTTAGTATAACTCAAGTGAAATATGCATGGATACACAAGTACTGATATATATTTAATAATGGAGAAAAAAGTTAAATAGTACTGAATTCTGTAATTGATATACAGTATATGAGAAAATATTAAATTTTTCACAAACTTCAATGTAGAAAATATCAATATGTAACTTACTTTTGTCTTACGGCTCTCCAACGTTCCATATGTTTGCTCATTAAAAATTCTTTAGAAGGAGCACCTTGATCATCCTATTAAAAATAGTTATTATTTCCTTTTTTCCTAATAAAAACAAATTAATAAAATTGAAAAATTAAAAATTTTATATACAGTGGAATCTGGTTAGCTTGAATCAGTTGGGAGAAATTCAGACTTTTATTAATAATTTAAAAAGTTTGAGTAACAGAGGTTTGGCTAAAAATTGAGATTTTGTGCATCAGTTTATCGATGACCCATAAACTATCTATACAACTAGAAATTCCCATATCAAACATGATGGAATACTTTTTATGAGAAAGTATAGATTGAAGAATAAGAAGAGTAGAGATTTCAAGAAATTCAAGAAGAGTTGCTAATATTTCTATAAATTAAGAAGTTTATACCATCTAGGAAGGAATGGAGTTGGTATCGTAATTGATAAAGTTCTAAAAGATAGAGTCTGTGAGGTTAAACAAAGGTTTGATAAAATTATGAGTGTTAAGTTGTATGTTGGTGGAATTTTCATTACAATTGTGTGTATGTATGCTCCTCATCCAGGTAGTGAAGAAGAAAAGACAAACTTTTGGACGTATCTTGACCAAGTTATAATGTGTGTTCCTATGAATGAGAGATTAATCTGTGGGGGCAATTTAAATGGTCATGTTGGGAAGAGGAAGAATGCAGAAAGAAGAGTTCTTGGCAGGTGGAGTGTGGAAGAAAGGAATGGAGAGGGAGAAAGACTAGTTGATCATGCTGTGGCTTTTGACCTTGCACAAGTTAACATCTACTTTGAGAAGAAAGCAAATCAACTGGTTACATATATGAGTGGAGGTAGAGCCAGCCAAATTGATTTTTTCTTGTGCAGCAGGAGACATCTGAGTGAAGTGAGAAACAGTAAGGTATTAAATGGAGAAAGTGTTGCTGCACAACATAGAGTTCTCCTGGTGGATTGTAACTTTCTTATGGGCCATTGTAAGAATTGTGTTAGCCAGATTGAGCAAAGAATCAAATGGTAGAGATTGAAAAAGGAGGAATTAAGAAAAGAGTTTAAAGTAAAACTGTTAAAAGAAATCCAGTTTCCAGACATGGTGGTTGCTGAATAGTAATTGCATTTTGAAAGTTGGAGAAGAGGTTTTTGGAAAAACTTCAGGGAAGAGATCACCAGAAGGAAAGAAACTATGGTGGTGGAATGCTGAGATACAATCCACAGTTAAACAAAAGAAAGAGGCAAAGAAAAGGTGGGATTTGATGGGAAGGCCTGAAGATAAAGAAACTTACCATGTGGCAAATAAAATGACTAAAAAGGCAGTGGCTATTGCAAAAGCAAAGGCTTTAGAAGAGACTTAGAAAGTTTTTGAAAAGAAAGGTGGTGAAAGCAGTTGATGAGAATTGCCAAAGCAAAAGATAAGGCATCAAAAGATTTTATCTCTATTAAACTGATTAAAGATGATAAAGGAGTGGTATTACAAGATTACGAAAGGGTCAAGGAAAGATGGAAAGTATATTTTAGGAATTTATTGAATGAAGAAAACCCAGAACTTTATATGAGAATGGAAAGGCAAATGAAGGAGTGGTGAGTATTTTAAAAGAAAAATTAGTTCAAACAGAATATTGATTCATTGTGACCAAAACCTTATAACTTTGCTGTCACACCATATAAAAATTCAACTTTGCACATTTCCACCATGGAAGCAGCCAGCTTTGTTACAGAAAGAAAAGCAACTGAAACGAGCACTGTAGATTTAACCTCAAGCCAGTGACACCATTGCGAGGATTGCTGCATGAAGTGCTTCAAGAAAACAAGTTTAGCAACACTCAATGGCATTGTTTAGCAGTGCTTAATTTAACAACAACCTGTTTTGCTTGTTTACAGTTGCTCTTGGTAAAACAACTGCACAGTAAGAATTTTTTTTTGGGTAACTGGCTCTCTATCTGTTAGCTATCTGCTGAATCAAAGTAATTCATGCAACAAGCCTAGCTTATTATTTATAACTGAGATAAGGTTCAATTTAGTCTGTAGTATATATGATAACACATGTAAATAAATCATCATTATACAATTAAGTCACAAAAATTGTTTAAATTCAAATTTCACTTTGAAAATTTCTAATTATTAGACACTACTTTCTAATTGTTTTCACTTACCGAACAGATGACAAATTCTTCCTGTTCTCTGGGAATGGGTGATGGTATTCTAAGATCTTTTATTTCTCCATTTTCAGTTTTAACATGTTTTAATGGTGCAGGCAATTGACTGATTAATTTTGTTTTGCATTCATCCTAAAATTTAATATTTCATAAAAATTCAATTAGGTAGTCTATATATAAATTTGTAAAAAAATAATGATATTTATTGTAATATAAAAGATGGTCAATTCTCATTAATTTAAATAAGTTAAATTAATATTTTCATATATATGATTCATCTTTATTTCTTTAAATTAAATATAAACTGAATGTGCATAAAATTTTATTCACAAATTTCATTCCAATATCTAATACAAGAAAGAATGCTTTAAAATATTTTCTGTTTTGAATCTGAAAATAAAACTTAAAAATGTTAGGTGCATCGGAGGATAATTAAATGCATTTAATTAATGCCATCTTTTTTGATTATGTTTATAGAATAATGCAAAAATGAAAGTTATTTCAATTTGAAACATATAAAAATGAAAATAAAATATTAAATAAACTTAATTATAAGAAATGAAAGTAAAAAAAAAAAAAAATTTCATTCTATTCTTTCTTTTTCAAATATTTATAGTATAATTAGATACAGCACTTTAAAAGTAAACATAGCTTATAAATTATACTTTGGAATATTATGTAAAATAATTTGTGTGAAATATTCAAACTTTAACATAAAATGCTGTAAGAAAATATTAAAAATAACTGAGTTCGCATATTAACTATGAGATTCAAACTGGAACAGGTAACACAAACAGAAAATATACACTTTACTTGCTTTTCTAGAAGTTTGAAATGATTTTTCCAAACATTTTTGGCTTTTTTGAGAAGCCTTCTTCATAGGCTTACCATAATATTTTTTTCTCAAACCAGGACAATTATGAGAAAATACTCACAACAGAAAATAAAGCCTACTAGGATAAGTACCTATTATTTAAAAGGCTATATAAAAAGTTGTTAACAAAAAATGAGTTAAAAGCAATTTTTAGTAACTCAACTGAACATACTTTATTATTAAGAAGTTATTAATATTTATCACTAGTGTAAACTTTCTTTAAAAATTCTTTGTCACTTAAATCAGCACCTTTAAAATATTTTGATGATGATAGGAACCTTTAAAATATGACAACATATTTGAGGAGGTTCCTATTGTTACTAGACTTGCCTTATGTTTTGCACATTTCAAGTGATTTTTAATGTCTGAATGCCCATGAGTTACTGAAAATTCTGAAAAGCACAGTTCATATTTCACTTTGTCAATACAATCACAAACTTTTTCAAAAACAGATAATCCTTTTTTAAATCATCAGTAAACACACAATTTCCTTTTGGCATTTTGGAGATTAAATTAATTTAATGTACAGTACAAAATTATCGCAAATGCCAACTAGCAATTTGAACTTGACTAAGGCATGCCCAACAATGACGTAGCCAGTGTAAGTTTCAATGTTGCCAACTCTAACTGAAACAAAATATCTAAAAAATGAAATAAAAATATCTGGATAAAAAAATAAAACATCTAAATTCATTAGGCAACATGCTATAAATTTTTGGGGAAAACACCTAGACAACATTAAAAGTTCTTAGATCTAGATACAAAATGTGTAGATTGGCAACAGTGAGTGTAACAGAGGGGATATTTTTGTTGCCAAATCGCCATTTTACCTGAGGCTGCACTATTTTTACTTCTGATGTATTTGGCATTTTTAAAATTTTACCAAATAACTGGGACAAAATGACAAACTGGCCAAGACCCAGGGACCACATCATCAAACTGAGAGTCCTGACATCTGGTAAGCCAACTTAAGCCAACTTCTTCAGGATATCTATTTAGAATGTTGATGTTTTAATTTTTAAAGTTTGTTTTGGATTTTATCTTTGGAATGTTCTTTAAAAATTTTTTTCTTTTGGGTAGTACTGGAGTTCATGCACTAGGTTTCATATTCTAGCTGGTCATTGGGCTTCTTTCTTCTCAAAGGATTGTCATATAATGATTGACAGGCCATTTGTAGTGATTCACTGTCTCTGTAATTGATGCTTTGGCCCGTTAAACCTATTTTGAAGAATTTTAATTTTTGTAAAGTCCTCAGACAGTGCTCTTCAAATGTTAAAAAATTAAAAGATTGACTTTCTAAACAGAAGATATCCTGAAAAAGGCTTCTCAAGAAAGTCGAAAATGTTTGGAAAAAAACATTCCGAACTGCTGGAAAAGCAAGTAAGGTGTATATTTTCTGTTTGAGTTTGTATAAAACTATACAAAATATATAATTTGACGAAAGACATAATATATAATTATTAATAATTTAATTATTTTTTAAATCTGAATTTTAAACTATTAACTTTATACATAATAAAACTTATTACCATTTTACTTTTAAGAAACAGCTTAGAAATAATAATGATACTAAGCTTAAGCTTAAAAGCTAAATCATTAATGCTTTAAACAAAATATATGTGGAGTTTATCATTAAATATTTTTAATTTATGAAATTTTTTCAATGAAGAATAGAATTATAATTCATCTAATTAAATAAAGCCACTGACAATTATTCTGAAAATTAACAATGTAGTTTTATACTAACTTTTATGTCTTCATGTAATTCTTGTGAAACTGATGATGATGATGACTGATTGTGACCATGAATACTATTACTATTTGGCTGATTATGAATCCAGGCTCTACATACAGGATAGAGTGGAGTATTTTCAGAAAAAGGAGCTAAATCAACACTTCTGTCGTATAATTTCAAAATATATGAATCTAAAACAAAAAATTTTTAGATAAGTTTATAAAATTTTCAATCATAAATTTGAAAAAATACAATATAATAAAATCAAATAATAAACCTTTTATTATTATAAATACAATACTAACTTGTGTTTTTTGTTGTAACATCATCTTTTCTTCGTCTCTTGCGTTGAGTTCTATGAGTTTGTTTCTTTGTTGGTGATGTCACAGGAGATGGTTCTCTAAAGATAAAATTTTAAAATGTTATTAATTTATTGTAAGAACCATAATTGTCTTAAAAATAGTGTTTGATATATTTGAAATATAAAATTATTTGATTATTCAATGTAAAATATATTGATGACAATTTCATTAATTTTAATATTTAACAAGATTCCTTTTATTTTTATATGCATAGACTTCAAAAAATCTATATACGGCATTTATAACAATATTAACTTTTATATAGCTGATTTTTTTCCTTTGAGGCAGCATTGCCTTTTATTGGCATATCATATCAGATAATATTATCTGATTATAAAATGAGAAAATAGGATTTTACTTTTGACAAAAGTCACAACCAAATATACAAAAATAAATTAATTTTTGAATTTGATTGCCATGCACATACATACGTATATAAATTGTAGCATGAATTTTAATATAATAAATTATATTTTGTTAACATCTGAACATGAGAGAGCATTTGTATATATATATAAAAATATAAAACAAAAAATTAGTGGTAATTGTCAATGTAAGTGAGTGTTTAATTTTTTTTACTCTAATATTTTTTTAAATCAAGGAAAACTTTAAAGCCTTTTTAAATATATTGTTAAAGAGACTACCTTTATTTTGTGAATATTTATCAAATTTTCAATTTATACCCTTTTTAAATAATCTCTATTGTGTGCTTTAATATTTCATTAAAAAAAAGCAGAAAGTATTCTGAAACAAAGCAAAGATATTTACTGATAAATCTGTTTTGCACTAACTGAAACATATTAACCTGATTAAACACAATCTGTAAAAGTCCAGCACAGATTTTATCATGAAATGCTGTTATAAAATTAATATGCTAGACTATCAAACTAATCCAAATAATTCAATCATTGTCCTCTCTAATCTCAGTAGTTTGGCAAGCTTCAACCAGTCAAATCTAACAATTCAACTGGTCAAATCTTGCCAAATTACTGAGATTGGAGACAGAGGTGATGGATTCCCCAACATTTCCAAGTTGTTCACATTTGCCAAATAATTCAAGTAATTTAATATGCTAAATTTAGATTCAGAAATAAATAATACTCTGTACTTCAACCCAACCCTAATATATTAAATTACTATTAATTCTAGTGTTAAAAATTCATTAATATTTAATATATTTAAAATTTTAAGAATAACTTAAAATTTTAAATATATTGAAATGACACAATATTAAAGTTATATAAACTAATCATAAAAATGACAGTCAGTTTTTTAAAATGAAAATAAACATTAACATTTACTATGACACACACACGCCATTAAAATATCTAATAAAACAAAATCATCTATTAAAAGTTTTAAATCAACTGTCTTGTGGTGTTTATTTATTAAATAAAAAAAAATAATATTTCATAAAACACAAGCACTTTCGATAAAACAATTTATCTTCATCAAACAATCCGTTCCAATCACCTGATGAAGATAAATCATTGTATCAAAAGTGCCTGTGTTTTATGAAATAGTATGCCTTATATATTTAATAAATAAACACCACAAGACAGTTTTTGTGTTTTATTAGAAAAATAAATAATACTTACTTGACAACTATTTCAGGTGATGTTTTTGTGCTTTCATCAGATGAACTTTGGCTGTAATAAAACAACAAAATTTAATAAATGTATTTTATGTTTAAAATTTTTCTTATGATATTTTATAATCTTTATTTTTATATTAAGCTTTTATTAATTATTATTTCACATGGTTTTTCCCCTCTTATATAATTTCTATTATTTTTGGGATTATATCATTTTCTCAAGAAAAATTTCAGATCCTAAAAGTATCACTAAAGAAGATAACAACACGACAATGGAAAACTCTGTTCAATTAATAGTACCCAGTTTCGTCGTCGCTTTATAAAATGAATTTCTTCTGAAACAGATTTAATGTTCTTACATTTTAAATGAATAAATATACAGTAGAATCCACTTATTATAGTCAATTTGGAACTTATCTGTATTCAATAATAATGACTGATAACATTAAGTGGATAAGACTACAATTAATGGAAATCCAAATTTACCAACTGGCATGAAAAAAGTATAATTTAAATACTTATTAGTTAAAATTATTTATTATTAATTATTATTTATCTAGTATTTATCTGTTTTATTTTGTAGTTTCTTTAATAATAGCCAGTTTATAACTGGAATAAATACTAGTTGTTTAATCTATTGCAAAGCCAGCAAATAATGATTAAAATGATTAATATTTGGTTAAAAGTGATAACAACACTAATAGCTGATAATTATTTCATGTTATCAGCCACATGTTGAAGCTGATAAGCATGGAAAAAAAACAGCTTAAAAACAATGGTGATTATAAATAAAACTAATTACATTAAGTAAAGTTTTATATATTTTAATCTGTATATTTTTGGATGTTATAATTGTGACAACTTGATGACTGATAATAAGATTCTATTATATTTAAAAACTATCTTTTAATTTATGTTTATCTCTGTATAACTCTAAATTATTTTAGCAATTTATTACAAAATAATAATTTACACCTAATAATTTTGTAACAAAAATTTTATAATTTCAATATATCATATTATATAATTAAGTTCTTAAGATTAAATCTGTGGAAAAATATCTTAATTACAGTCAACTCGTTTATACAGTTTTTAAGGAAATTGAGAAAAATATACTTTTGAATTGCTTTCACAATGAACATAGTTGTCACTTGTAATGTTCCTAACTTAGCTGTCTTAATAAACAGAATTTTGCTATATGTGTGATAACTGCACCCAAGTCAACTATGTTCTGCTATCAAATGCATTGTTCATTGAATGCACACTTTAGAACAGGGAGATGGATGGTGCATACAACAGAACTATTAGTCTGATTTATTGGTTACTTGAACGTTTTCATGTGAGCAATTTGACACATGTAAAATTATCGTATGTGATATTGTAATCTATGGAGAGTTACAACTCAGACTCATAATCTATAACTGCCATATAAAACTTGCACTTTGTGTCTAAACTTCTCTATACTGCTTATCTAATATGCCTATTGCAGTGACATTAGTGACTTGATGACAAGATTCACAACCTATCTAATATGCAAATTGCAGTGACATTAGTGCCATGTTTTCCCTTATCAGAAAATTTTGGAACTACACTTTTTATTTGCAAAATTAAAATTCCATGAAATAACACACCTTCAATCGCCGTACATCAATGTATTGGGTAGTTAAGATGTTTATATTTAGTGAAATTCCATGGTCAGAAAAGTATGCAAACTAAATTAGACTAAAATTCTAAATTGCGTTTTAAAAGTGAATCACATACAGAAACACGCTCAATAAAGTTTCGTTCACTTAACTTATGGGGAACCCAAACATCATAACAGGAAGTGTATCCAAGGCTAGCCAAATGTCTGACAACAGATGTTTGGGATATTTTTATGATGTTGACTATCTCTCATGTTGTTTTATGCTGATCATTTTGAATTAAAGCCATTACGAACTCATCTTCTATGGTTGAAGGCCGTCCTGACCGAGGTGCATCTTCGAGAGAAAAATCTCCCTCCCCGAATTTTGAAAACCATTTCTGGCACATTCGATCAGTAACTGCATCCTCCCCATATACAGCACATATCTTTTTTTGAGTTTTTGTTGCAATTTTTCCTTTTCGGAAATAATAGAGCATCAGATGTCAAAAATGCACCTTCTTATCTTCCATTTTAATGTTTTTTTTCCTTAAAAGTTAACAAAATTTTTAAAAATAGCTGTAATTAAACTTACGTAATAAATATGCAGATATTCGTAATGTCAACCTAAACAAGTTAAAACTTGATAAGCACAACAGAGGCGCCACAGACAAGCGATTATGTAAATACCCAAATGAACTTTTGGTTCAACCCAATATATGAAGCATTGCTCCATTAATGTGAGAGATCTATTATCTGCCCATCTTTTGATCGTTAAAGTGTTTTTCCAATCAGCCTGGGCTTCCTTATCTAAGGATCATTGTGTTAATGCCGTAGACCATTTGCTTTTCTGCAGTGTCACAGTGTTTGTTAACACATTATCACAGCATTATGTATATTAAGCCTAAGTAGTAAAAGTCTTCTTCCATCTTGTTGAGTCTGGTCATGATATGCCTGCCACATCTCCTTTTAGCTTTCCGTTGTCTATACACAGCAGTTGTTTGATCATCAGAAGCCATTTAACTGTTAGAGTGATGCCATTGACCCTAGAATAGGGAGCCAGGAGTGAAGTTACCAGAATGGTAGTTTCACTCCTGGCTTCTTATTCTAGGGAATTATTAGTGATTCTGCCAGTTATTGCACATATCTTCTATTAAGCTACTCAGACTTTCTTCCACCAGTTCTTTGCTTTGCCTAATAATTAGCTAAACTTGCCATAATAAGTTTTTTAATTATCTTGAAGAAAAGCCATGATTTATTACTGTTCACATAATTAAGAAATTTCTTTTGTGTGTGCATGTGTGAGCAACGAAGAACATATTGTCATTCTTGGTACAGCTCAAAAGGCTTCTAACTTGTGGGTTGTGGGTCATAGTGTGTTGAGAGCAGCAATGTACAGTAGAGCATTGATTATCCGACCACTGATCAACTGTCACATCAGTTAACCGACCGTGTTCTGGTCGGCAAATTCAAATGTCCGCTAGTGATGTGGTGCTACAATAGTTGGCTATGTCTTGGCTACTTTAATATTATTTTTGTTAAATTTTTGCGTGTTTTAGCTGGCAACATTGGCTTGATCATGAAAGGGAAACCAGTATTTAAACGAGGCTTAATTTTCTAATTATGAGTGGTTTGTTTGTTTTGTGAGCAATAAAATAATTTAAAAATAATTTTTAACGATACAATAGCGACAATTATTATTTTTTTTTTAAAAATTGTTAGGCTTAACATTGATGAAAATTCAATGCAAAGTAGGTTAATAGTGATATATTAATATACTAATTACATGGGATATACTAATATACTATACTAATAATGTATTTTGTCATACTTTTCGGTTATTCATTTTTTCAGTTATCCGACCAACCCCAGTCCCCAATTGAGTTGGATAATCGATGCTCTACTGTATATAAGAATTGTAGTTAGTGGGCATCCTACACTTTCATAGCTGTCTCCTGAAGTATAGATGCTGATGTCTAAAAAGTTAACCTTCTTGTGGCTAGTATGGTCAATCCTAAGTTGATACCCACAGAATTATTAGTATATTTCTTCTATAAAGTTCTGTACTTGGTCTTTATTATCCCATGTTATCAGAATGTCATCTATGTATCAACAAATAAGTTTTATGTTACATCTGTACTTGCTAACTACCAGATTTCTTATCAGGAGAAGACTATCTCTGCAATATCATTTAAAATGGGTAAGCCCATTGATACACCTCCTTCCTGTTTATAGTATACATTGTCTCAAACAAAATATAAGTTCACCAAAATTAAGTCCAGTTAATCTGCTACCTTTTTATACTTGTCTACTAACATTCACTTTTCTGCAAATTAAACTTTTGGTTAATGCAATAACAGCTTCCATCTTGATTGAAGGAAACATATTCACGTAAGCCAGAACTGTCATCATATCACCCTCTTCCCTTTTTTCTTCTTTAGTGCTATAACAACCTCTTTAGCACTGTTTACAATATAAGTGAGATTTATGACCTAGAACGTCAGGAATTGGTATAAGATCCTTTTCATCATTACCACTGGGACATACATCTTTTCCAACACTGGTGTCAGAGACAAGTCAGGCTTGTGTCTTAACAATGTCAAAAGTCTAGGTGCAATGAGACTCCTAGACAATTTCTTTGCATTTATATGGCATGCAACCATATGGAAACAATTCTTTACACAAATACCCTATTTTTTAATTATCAAAAAATAAATGCTAATAGTTGAGAAATTTTTGTAACCACTTTACGCTTGCTGAGAAATATTTACCTCAGAACAGCATGCCACCACGATTACAAAGCTAAGCCATCACAGCCATCCAGCCAACACATAGCTTTTATAAATTATATATTGAAATTTAACAAACTATTACAGGAACAAGTGCTTCAATAAATTCTAATATAACTTCCAAACAGCTGACACTGTTGGGACCAAGAAGTCTGTACACTATTTAGAGGTTCCGCTATTATACTATGTTCGCACACAATCCACGACTCACTCCGATCTCGATTTACCTACAATCTGGATTGTGACTGTCGCTAGTCAAACGTCATGCTGTTCGCACAGGCAGTCCGCTCGAGAAAAACCTGGCTATTACACGCGATCATAAAACTGACGTAACTATGTGGTAAGTCACAAACACCAACAAACAAAATGGAAGTTTTGGTTAGAAATAAATACTTTTTCTTGCCGTACATCTAATAATAGACAGATGTCGTCGTCTCTCCAGCTGTCTTTTTTATTTCTCTGTCAATAGCCCGACACGTGTTCCGCAGCCATCTTGTATTTTCTCGCGCGCATGGGATTGTGGGATCTCTCTTATGACTGGATCTAGTTTCGAGAACTCTCTCCAATCGATTGTGATTGAACCTCGTTTCAGTCGAGATTGAAACGGTCGAGAGCGTTCGCACCACAGAACACTCTCTAACCTTA